GGAAGGAGCTGGAGCTGGAGCTTGATGCTGCACAGGCGGTTGAGAAACTTCTGGCTGGGAGTATGCATTCTCATAATCACCATGGTAGTGTTGCTGAGGCTGATGAGGATGATTGTGTTGATAAGCTGGTTGAGGTTGCGTAGGGGCAGGTTCCTCCCATTGCCGATGCAGGTCATCTGGCGTCTCATAATGTCGAGCAGCGCTGGGGACGACAGCATGCTGTACTGGCACAGGCTGAGCCTGGCTGGCATGGGGTATGTTGCTAGGTATCTGTTGAGGCCTAATGGGGACACTGTGGCCAGGCTGTGCGGGATGACCTGGCTGAACTGCTGGTTTAGGCGACTGATGGGACGGTGAGGGGGCCGAGCCGGTGGGATCAACTGGCAATGGTCTCCGCCTAGGCCCTTTGGTTCTCCTAGAGCTAGGCTGAGGCTTCTGTGGGGCAGGTATGCCCTTCCTCTCAGCTTTCTCGGCAGCAGCAGCCTCCTTTCTTCGCTCAATGACTGCTTCGTCCTTGGGCCGAGTGTCGTAGTACGTCAGCTCCATTCTCAATTCGCCCGCATATTTTCCCTTGCACTGCAAATTGTGCCACAAGTCGTTCTGCCCGCCACCGGGTACGATAACGTTCTTGAGATCCACCCAGGTTTCTCCAATAAGGTCTGTCTTTTTGTCATCATTGAAGACAGAGAGCTTCAGCTGGTAATAATCGGGCGAGGAGTGAACGGTGAATCGCAGTTCTTGGTCCCTATACCGTGCGATTAGCATCTATACAAGAAAATGCAGCTTTCCACCTTTGTAGTCGAGAGTGGACCGTGGCTTCTGCTCATACCATTTGGGAGTCTGCCCGCCTCTCATATCCGTCTCTGTCTTTTTCGCCTCTTTCCCCAGCCGCGCAGCACAGTAGGGATTCTGCTTCCCCATGGTCTTCCTGTTCGGTAGGTTCTTCGCGCGGTCGATAACGGCGACCAGCGTGCCAATTTCGGGCCCGTCAATAGACATGTCGGCGTATATCCCCGCGGTATGCTGGCCCAGGGCCAATTTCGTTGCAGTTGTTAACATGCTGGGCGGAGTTGAATGTTGTCGGTTAAAAACGAGGGCTATGACATGGTCAGCAGATCATCCCCTCCCAGAAAGCAAAACAACAACAAAAAAAACAAGGAAGAGGGAGTTTTCCAGAGGCAGAAACGTTCAATAACAAGGAACATAATATAATAACGGCAGAGGAAGAGCATAGCCTGGTTAGGGTACGCAAGAATATCAATGGACAAGGGTCGGCTAGGTGACGTACCACAACAGCTTCCTTGCCTAGGGCATTATCTAGCAGCATATATAGATTGGATGGCTCCAGAGTATAACTGTGCCGCCAGCTAGGAACAAGATGCACAGCAGATAAGCAAAAGCAAGACAAAAAGAGTGAAGAATAGCCTGTATCCAACCAGAGAGAGTGTGTACAAGTTGGTAGAGAAGAAGAGCAGACGTTGTTTTCTTCCGCTTTCGTCCCTTTCTTGCTTTTTGGCCTGCAAGAAAAAGCAAACTTTTGGGCAGTACACAAGATGACTAAGCTAAAGTTTAAAAAAAGATGGTGGCTGGTGGAAGGCGCGACCAATCAGGTTCTTTCCCCTTTTGGGTGGCTGGGACGGATCACGTGTGGGACCCACTTCAGCCCTACGGTCACGTTATTGCTTAGTAAGAGATCTGCGGGTAAACATAGCGCCGGAGTCCGATATAAAAAATTATTTTTTCCGCAAGAGTAAAAAACGACCTAGAAGGCGGAAGACCCGTGGAGGAGAAGAAAGAAACAGTCGAGAAGCGGGCGGAGACGAACAGGTAACAGTGAAGGACGGAAGCTCAGGGCATGGAGGAATAGATTTCTGCGTCCATATCCGATACACCGCTTATCAATTGAGCTATACGCGGCTTTATTCGCTGCAATGGCTGCGCCAGTCCTGCCCCTGCCGCAGGTGAAGCTACCCACCACTCCCACCACCCGACTCACTCCGGAGCAGCTATACTGGCGATCTTTCAAGTCCCTTCTGCTTCTGTCATCTCCCTCCAACACGCCGATAACACACATATCCCAGCCACTTGCGCCCACGTCCTCGTCATCGGCCGCCGCTATCCAACCGCCAGATATTTTCACTGTAACAACGGGTGCGCGGGTCCAGATCTACTCCATCAGAACAAGAAAACTGCTCAAAACTATTACTCGGTTCGATGATAACACACGATGTTCGGACGTACGGTTTGACGGCCGTGTCCTGGTCGCTGGAGACGAGACTGGAGCCGTACAGGTTTTCGATATCAATTCCCGGTCGATATTGCGGACATGGAAGGAACATAAGCAACCAACATGGGTAGCGAAGTTTTCGCCGTCCTGTGCTACGGATTTGTTGACTGCCAGTGATGACCGGACTGTTCGACTATGGGATCTACCTACTGAAATGAGCGTTAGGAGCTTTGCGGGACATTCAGATTATGTCCGAAGCGGCACATTTATGCCCGGCGCCCAGTCATCGAACTTGGTTATTTCCGGCAGCTATGACCAGACGGTTAGGCTATGGGATACTCGAGCAGAAGGCCGGGCAGTGATGACGTTCAAGATGCCTGCGCCGATAGAGAGCGTGCTGCCTATGCCTCTCGGTACGACGGTCCTTACCTCTGCGGACAATCAGATTGCTGTCCTGGACGTAGTGGCTGGGAAGCCACTACACATGATCAGCAGCCATCAGAAGACAGTCACTTGCTTGTCAGTGGCCTCACAAGGAAGTAGAGTTGTCAGCGGTTCCCTCGACGGCCACATGAAAGTCTTTGAGACGACTGGCTGGAACGTTGTTGGTGGAACTAAATATCCATCCCCCATTCTCTCCCTGGGAGTAATCAGCTCTGGTCCTCAGAGAGAGGATAAACATATCGCAGTAGGCATGCAATCCGGTGTCCTTTCAATCCGCACCCGACTGTCTGGAGAGCAAAAAGCCCGTGAACGGGAGCGAGAACGAGAGATGAAAGCATTACTCGAAGGGAAACTAGAAGAGCATGACCGCGAAGTTGCAAAGAAGAACAGGCTAAAGGGTAAAGGTAAAGGTTGGGAGAAACGGCTACGTGGAATGGACTTTGCTGGTGACGGAATTGATATCGTCATCGATCCCGAACAAGGGGGAAAGAAAAGGCGCAAGCGGGAGAGTGCATGGGAGAATGATCTACGGAAGGGCAGGTATAGCAGCTCGTTAGACAAGGTCCTTGAGGGAGGAGATAAGATCACCATTATCACACTACTCACTGCCCTTCGGCATCGTTCTGCATTACGGACCGCTCTGTCTAACCGAGACGAAACGTCGCTACAACCTATACTGAAATGGGTATACAAAGCCATCCCCGACCCACGGCTTGTTGATTTAACTGTTGAAGTTTCTATGAATATTCTGGATATCTACTCCGGAAATCTTGGCCAGTCAGTGCATATCGATAACATGGTACGTAAGCTGCATCGGCGAGTCGAGGAAGAGGTTGATCGAGCTCAACAAGCGTGGCAGACACGGGGGATGCTAGATATGCTGAAAGTATGACCCTGTCAATCCTCGTTCCGCCTTGCGAGTCTATATTCATATCCTGGATTTATACATTGGTGATACACCCTGGCTGTTTGGCGTTGCATTATGATATTGTTATTCATGTAAGGAGTTTGTTGATATGATTTAAGGGGTACAAAAGTTCTTAACTAGTGCTCAGCCTTTAATGGTTCCCGAATAACCTTGTAAAACCCCCGGACGGGGGCTGAAGCCAATTTCTCTCATCATACTTCCATCCTTCAGCCCCCTCTATGACGTGGAAAGCATACGCAAACCTTGACTTGTCACTCGGGTTATTCTCACTCTTATGCAGAACGTTCCCATGAATCAACACGAGAGAGCCAGCCTTGATCTCCACGAGTTCATAATCCGACGCATCAGGTACATAATCTTCCTTCCCTTTACTCTCCTCATCAATGGCAGCAGGCAAGTTCGGTCCATCCCACGCCACAAAGTCAGTCCCTCCGGCATCTTGGGAACCCGCATTTGACCTCACGAATCTTTTCCTAATCCTGCCCGTCTTGTGACTACCCTTCCAGAATCCAAGAGTTCCATTCTCCATGTTAGCATCTTGCAGCGCAATCCACCATCCAACAGCAGATGGTGGATCCGTATATAAGAATTCTGAATCCTTGTGGCTGGGTACCGGAGCGCCAATACCTGGCTGCTTGCAAATGACCATGCTCTGGAGCACTCGAGGGTCACGAAACCCCAAATCCTTGGCTATTGCTGCATTCCGAGCTCCTACCGGGCCGGTGTGAGTTGCATCTGAGAAAGGTTTGGACAGAGAATGTATCGAGTGTCCTATCTTGTTCACCGAGCGGTTTTTAGGCTGTAGTAGCTTGGACGGGTCAGAGGGACTGAATGCGCCGGGCTCGAAAAAGAACCGGATCTTGTCGTTGGATGTAAGGAAATATTCATCTCCAACATGCTGAGATTTTGACGAGGGATCATCTCCCGTAGTAAAGCGGGTGAGAGGATGGGTATTGATGTCAAAGTTCTCTAGTAGTTCGTTTGTAGTATCGAGCAAGGAGTTGACTTGGTCTTTGTCCAAGAAGTCGGGGATCACGAGGAAGCCATTATCATGGAAAAAAGTGGCCTGTTCGGCCGTCAAGCCAGGAACATCAACTGTATTAGCCATGGCTGTCTCCTTTGCGCTCTGTATATTGAAGCTGGCACGAATAATTGACAGGATCTCGACGTCGATTTATATGCACTTCGATCTCTCCACCGCTCCTGGCCGAGGCTCAACAACTGCGGGGGACTCCGGCGCTATGCCTAAAGTGGAAAAACGTAAACATAAAATTGATCATTAAGCGGAGTAAGTCCGATAGAGAACAATGGAAAGTAACGCCTTGGAAGTATGCAAAAAAATGAAGAGTGGAATGCGACAACAGAAGGAATAATGAGAGAACTAATAGAATAACAGCCATTTCAACCTCCGATAACATCAAGTATGCCCTCAACAGCTTCTCCATCGCTGTCCGACTTCCTTTCAGCCTCAATAATTCCAATACCAGTGACAACAATCATATCAAGATGCTGGTCAATTTGACTTGGTGGCAGTAAGACAATAATTTCCTCATTGCCCTTGTCATACTTTGCAATCACGTTGCGTTTCTCATCCACTAGCTTCTGTTTGCTGCTGAACAACCCATCTTCCTTCCATTGCAGCTTTCCCATGCTACGAGTATGAAATTTGCGCCCGGAGGCCAGGGGATCAGGGCGTTTCATTGATGTATCACATCCATTGATTGAGACGTCTATTTTAGAAGAAAGGTCGTGAAATGTGATTGTACCGACAATTTGACCCGGTGGAAGTTGGTAGTTGTTGAAACTTTGGAAGTAGGATTGGTTCTGCTGCTGAGGTGGCGGATGATAAGCTTGATTGTAGGGTTGATTGTAAGGTTGATGGTATGGTTGATTATATGTTTGACTGTATGGTTGGGGATATGGCTGGTTATAGGGCTGGTTAAAATGCGGCGGTGGTGGGAAGCCATACGGTGGAGGCTGCTGGAATTGCATGGGAGGCGGCGGTGGCGGGTGACCGTTAAACGGCACACTGTGTTTGATCACTTTGGCATGGGGCTTCGACTTTTTATTTATCTCGGCCGTGTACATGGGGATAGGGTTATCACCGCAGGTAATCCTATACGTCCGGGTCTTCTTGTCCTTCTTCGCGTCAACTTTTAAGTGAACCCCGTCGGCCATAGCGATGTATGTGTATAGAGTTAGGTATAATGAGGGTGTGGAAATCAAGCAGAGACAAGTATACTATTAACGCGATAGTTGCAGTATAATAGTATGGGCAGTGGTAGAGATAGTAGTAGATTGTTGGAAGGAATCCAGCAACCGGGGAGTCTCGACCAGCCATTTATGTACAGCGGCCCGAAGGATGATCTTCGGTGCAGCGCCAGCTGAACATGCCCTGCTTGCGCCCCACCAACATCAAAATCGGTATCATCAGCCGCCCGAAGCCAAAGGAACCCATAAAATCTACCAAATCATCGACTCCTTCGTTGCATCAAAAGGCGCTTGGAATAGGGGAAGTCTTGGCGAAATCTCCAATAAATGGCCTAAACAGGTCTAGTGCCATATCTTTGACCGTAAAGGGAAAAGCGCGCGTTTAATGCTCAGCCTCGCGGATGTTTCAACTTCGTGTTAATATCAACATCCAGGCCTTTCTGACATATAGGCACAGACGTTTGGGCAGCAGTTGAGGTATATCCACTTGGGTTACATGTTCAGCTGTCGGTTGGCAGTCTGACTCTTCCACGGGAAAATCTAGACTGCAGCCGGTCGACGAGAGCTGGGATACCATAAGTCCAGTGACATAGCATACCGGCTACAAAGCCCAGCCCATCATTTTTAAACGCGACCAGCACTCCGATGGTAACAATCATCACGGTCCATCTCTTCTTCCGTTCATCAGTATCTAGGGAGGCTCCAGAGATAGGTCCAGTCAGAATGCCTCTGTCTTCTTGCGAGCGCAGGTCCCAGGCTGAAGACGTGTTCAGCGACTCGCCCACACTGGCTAGCTCAAGCCCTGCTGCAATCACCATCACACTCAAAAGTGCTACGGGAAATTTCGCCAGTAGGTCGACAATGGTGTTGCCAAACAGCAAACCGACCACTACCTTGACAAACCCTAGAAAAATGACACTGGCCCCAGATCGAGCTCCAAATCGATATTGGGCTGCAAGACCACCAGATCCATGACATACTGGCATGGAGCCAAACCAGATGCCAATTAGGTTCATGGCAGCTACGCTTAGTCCAATCTCTGTGACCGTCGGAGTCTGAATGTCTGGTAGCAGGTCGGCTGCAAGATGCACCACAGCAATGACAGAGTTTAGTGTTGTAAGCGGTACTTGACCAACTCCAGCGTCAAGGATACCAGTATTCCAATCCAGTAGGCTCGGTACAGTAAGCCACGGCCTCCAGAAACGGAAACCAGGTAGGATACCACCTTCCGACACAGCTAGTCGTATAATGGCAAATACCAGCCCCAGAATAAACACAGTTAGTCCATAGGGAATGCGCCGGTAGACATTAGTTATTACCAGGCCAACAAAGGCAGCAATCATCCAGATATAATTGTCCGCCCATGATGGTTGAATCCACGACAGCGAGCCCTTCAGCGTAACACCGGCGGATACAACGAGCGATAAGCCAGCTCCAACTTGTATCCCCTTAACAACTGGGATAGGCACTACCCCAGAAAACCAGCGCAGAGCTCCCGTCACACTAAAGAGTAAGATGCAGATAGCCACGAACAGTCCAGCTGCAGCAACCTGGCCGGCAGTGTATTTCCCCGCGATCGCCACAGCTGCGATGGCCTTCATCGGCTGGACGGGCAGCGGAATACCAAAAAATAGGCCCGTAAGAATATTCCATATTCCTGAAAATACTAATGTACTCGGTAGTGAGATTGAGTCGTTTATTGTCAACGCGATTAGGATAGGCAGAAAGGTTCCGAGATCCCCAACCGCTCCGGAGATCTCTGCAAGCGGACGTTCCCGGAACGTCTGCCAGTTCTGGCTTGCAAAGTGCCGGATGCGCATCCTACTCCGCATTTCTCCTCGTGGCCTGGGCGAGTTGAATGAGTAGGGCTCAGTGTGGTCCACGGTATTGAAGACAAAGCAGAGCTAGAGGTCTGGAATAACTGGAAGAAATACAATGTCGGTCTTGTCGATTTCAGCGACGAGTGTCGTTCATGGGGTCTAACGTATCCAGGGCGGCTGGACCTTACGTGGACGCTTGAATGATAAGAGTTCGCGAGGACCGTTTGCTTGTTATTACCTCGGTCAACGTGTTAGTACAAGTAAAAATAGAGAAAAGGTGTATAGTATACAGTTATTTCGCCTGCAGGGACTATAGCACTGAGAGCCGTTGGTTTTGCCGTTCAGAAGCCTGGAGCTGACCCAGAAACTGCTCCCTCCAGCAATGACTGTTGCACTTGAGGAGTTCAAGTTGTGATGGTTGAAGTCCACCCGAGGGAAAACAAGGTTGCGGATATGACTAAGCGAAATATTATGTTTGTTACTAATCAGATGTGCCAAGAATTCATCGTGGCTGTGCACTCAGTTGAGATTGATCAAGAATCCCCAGTGCTTTTGCCCATCTTAGTTATCCTGTAGCAGAAAAAGTCAGAATTTGGCACTCGGAAACCAATATACCGTATCAACTCGGAAGATAGTATAGAAATTATATACAAGTATGATCTCCTTCTGCGTAGTAGTCTATTTTTAGATAGCACCTGTACTTTATTAATAAGCCTAAACTTTAAATAGTTCCTGAATCACGTGGAAGGAACAACCTCCCATATTTCTGGGGAACCTTTAACGCCGTCACCCTCCTTCGCATACCACGGGAATCCTTGGAGTTGCACAACAGAAAATGGACCCAGATACCCCTCCACCCACAGAACAGCCTGGTGTGCTCAATTACCTTCTGAGCTTCCTGTTAGTCGGCTTAGCATGGGGATTTACAACACCCTTTATCCGCCGCGCGGCAGTCGATTTCAATGCGAGGAACGAAGCTAAACAGAATGTTAACCAGCCTGATACGAGACACGGCGGGCAATCGTTCCTCTCGGTTCCATGGATAAAGGAGAAAATTGTCTCTGTATTCTGGACGGTAGTGAATCTCCTGCGCACTCCGGCATATTCGGTTCCTTTATTGATTAACTTGACGGGGAGTGTGTGGTTCTTCTTACTGGTTGGAAAACATGGTATTCACTCTTGGATCTTTCTTTAACTGTTGTATATTTGCAAAGCAGCTTTCTAACATTGTGGTCGATAGAACTCAGTCTTACAGTCCCAATAACGAATTCAACTGCATTCTTGTTTACAGTCCTGGGGGAGTGGTACGTTGAAGGCAAAGTTATATCAAAAGGTGAGTATTACAATAGAATGCCTGAATATTTCAACTAATTATAAATTGTAGAAACTTGGTTAGGGATGATCTTGGTCCTTGGTGGAATTGCTCTATGTGTGCAGTCCAAACTCTGATTTATACAGCCTCTTATTTTCTTTTCTTCGGGAGTTTCAATACCCGAGGCATTTATAACGTATCTTAAGCAACTTACATTCCCTTATCGTCTTGCTGAAAGTATGAAGAATGGCTAGGTAGGATGGCGGACCCCTCCCTTGCCTGTACAAACGAGTATGAATACACAACCGCAATCCTTCGTTATAGATAAGACCCAGACTGGTCTATTCATGATTCTTTAAGAATATACCAGATTTCACTTCTTCAAAAGCACAGCTCGCCATATCACCGACAACTGTTTGAGTAATACCTGCAGGTACTCTTAATAATACGGCCAAACACGACGTATCTCCTCCAGAATAGCCTGGTGCCCGCGTAACGTGGGGTGGAACAGTCGTGCAGTGCTCGGCGCAAAGGGTTCCCGACCACCATTGGCATCTATACTGTCGTTGAAGCCACGCATCGTTGCCTCAGGAAACTTTGCTTTGACAATTGCCATTCCGCACAGCGCTCTCTCACCCCAGTCACCGGAGAGATTTGACTCATGCTCGCAGGTCTCAATATCAACCTCGTCATCAGGGACAAAGCTTCGAAAACCGACATCGAAAAACCAGGTGTCTTCCCCATTGACAGGCGGCTTTCCTGGCTGGCAGAAACGATGTTTGACAAATCGCGGCGCCCAGTTAACCCATATCACTCTGTCATCTGATCGAGCCTTGATGATCTGACCAATTCTGTCATTCAGCTGATTGGAAATATCATTGATTCTCTTCCTCAGCTCGACCGAGAGATACTGGTGCCACCAGCCAGGCCAGTAGCTCAAGGTGTATTCGTTGCAATCTTTTGTCAGTGCATCGTCGAAAAAGGCACTATATCCTGTTGCAAGGACTCTAAAAGATGGGGAGTCACCCTTTTCTACCAGTAAGTCTAGCATTGCGTTGTATCCATCGGCAAACTGGCTGCTGGCTATAACTGCACTGGCAAAGTCTAATCTATCCTCGCACGAGCCCGAAAATGGGCCGTAGAAGTTATAGATGCAGGCATTGAGGAGGTTGAAGAAACCAACATCGTTTCCACCAATAGATAAAGTTGCAACGCTTGCATTCTCGACTTTCTCAATATATTCTGCCACTGATCTGTGCAGCTTTCGTTCAGCACGGTTCGTGTATGTGTCTAAACCCAGCATCCTGACTCCTGAGCATGCTAGGAACTGGAATTCATGGGCCTCTGGAAGCAAGCTGCTCCGGTTCAACAAGCCTGGATAGCTGTCGGCAAACTGCCAGCATTCACTGCTGATTTCAGGGCCTGCACCTACTCCAGCTGCATATGAATCTCCCAGGGCAACATATTTTTTGATCTGTGTGAGGGGAACTAAACGGCCTGCGTTTTCTTCAACGTTTATCTGGTCAGTATGTATACATAGTTTGTGGTTGAATGGCTTACCACCAGCGAACACCATAGAAACAATACTCGTCAGCCATAAGAAGAATAGATAGCCATAACACGACGCCATTCTTTAATTAAGCTGAAATTATCCAAGGAGTTGTCGATGGATGCATTGTGTTTGCGTGAAATGTTTTGGTCGCGTGTGTCAATGAGAGCTTCCCCCTGAATCTCAGACGCTCTTACCCCGATGCCTGCTGTGACTGCAACAATAAAATGCATTCCAACAATCAGAACACTACACATAACTAACACCGACAGAAGAACATCGTACTGTATTCATGGTTTATCATGTCTATATGTTACATGAAGACGTCAAGTCGGACTCCATGCAATCCCGGGAAAAAGCGACAAAAAACAAACAGAACCCTTCGAGCCCCCCTATCCATATCCATATCCATACATACATGCAATTATATACATGCGTTCCCGCAAAACAAGGGGCGTAAAATGACGAGGCAGAAGATAGGAAACGGAACAGGGAAAAATGCAGAATTACGTTTCTTACGTATATCATCAGGCGTGGGTATATCGAGTACATGAAGCCGTTAACATACCACCTGGCATACATCGGTGGAAAGTGGGGGAAAATATACAAAGAGGAATAGAAGTCAAGTAAAAGGGAGATAGTCTATGTCTATACTCCGCGGAACTATAGAAGTAGTTAGTATTGGAACCGACACCAGGGAAAAGGGGGTAAGCGGGACATACCATTCTAACGACCAAAAACCACATTGCACCGACGAATCTGAACAAGGATAGGCCTGCAACACTCCATAATACGACGGCCATGTAGATAATGCTCCTTTTCTGGGAGTTATCTTTGCTGTTTGAGTCGACTCTCTCTAGGCCGGCGGCACTCAAGACCACGGCACCAAGAGCAAAGTTACAGAAGATCCAAGCGAGGACGACAGCACTTCTGAAACCCTTGTAGTAGTCTTCTTGTTTCTCAGATTCAGAGACAACACGCTTCTCCTTGGGTGGCTTGCTAGCGAACTTTGCGAGCTCAGCTTCGTACTGAGCGTTAAGATCTCCGTCATCCTGAGGGATTTCAACATCGACCTTGCCACCTGGTTTAAGGTGGGCTGAGGGCAGTTTTTCAGGTTTATCGTCTCCCTTGGTTCCCCACGTAATGTCATGGGTGTTACAGAAGGCGTAGATGTTGAGGACATTGATATATGTTGGCGTGAGGAGGAGATATTGTAGGAACTAATTTGTATTAGTCGAGTTTCCCATCTGTAGTAAAAGGCGGGGGAAAGAGACTTACGCAAGTGAACATGTGCCATGGATCGAAGAAGAGGATGGAGGCCAAGAACCAAAAGACATAGGTAGTCAGCAAAGAGACGAAGATGGAGAAGAACTGCAGGTTTTGGAACAGCGTAGCGAAGGTGAATTTCCCTTCACGAGCCTCGTTCTGTATTGACTTGACGGTGACGAAAATGGCTGCAAAGGTGAGGTATATCATGATCATGCACCAGAAACCGACCATGGTCATGTAGAACTTGTTTGATCCCTGCGGCCTATTACCCAGCGCAAGGACGAAGCATGTCACAAGCGTAGCGAGATACAGCCATTCGAAGATAACACCGAGGATACTGCCTGCTTTACCTAGGAGGTCGGGAGTACCTAGAGAAGCAGTGAGGATACGGAAGACCAGGAAGAAGTTGCCCTAGGAAGACCAGTTAGCAAATGATTTATCAGGTCAATTAAAAAAAAAAGAACACATACGATTGCAAACCAAGCGAATAGGAGGTTGATAGTTTGGTATATGAATTCAATGATGAGCATGAGTTTGCGAGTGAAAGAGTGATTACTCCTGCCGACCTGGTAGAAATGCAGGATAGCATACACAGCAGCAAAGAAACTGCCGTTAAGCCAACGTCTTCGCTGCAGGATGAACTCGGGCATACGATCCGGCACGTCAGTCTCACCAGTGGCACTCTTGACGTACTGCAGGATCCACTGGCAGTTACGCTTGGTGACGAGCTCGAAACATAATATTCGGTCTTCGGCGAGGTACATGTTTGCAGTGAAGACGCCTGCATTGGCGCCATGCATCTTCTCGCCGGCAAAGTACTTCTCCAGTGGTCCCTGACCGTTCTTGTCATTCTGTAGCGCAACATATCGGTACGCGGAGAATGCACCGGGAAGGACAGAAATAAAGCCAAAGGCAGACTCGAGTGGCTTGTCGAGAATATTGGACATCTTGTACTCAAAATTTTGACCGGCAACGAGCGGGTTAAACAGTTTCTTGCCATGGGACAACATGACCTTGATTTCACCGCAGGCACCACCGCACATGGGCTCGAGGTCAAAAGCACGCCAGAGCTGGTATATACTTCGCCCGCCTGGTTTTGTTCCAGCGTCGATGAGAACACAGATATTGGGGTCGAGGACCCGACCAAAGGCTTGGAAGAACCATCTGTGAGAGTTGATCTTCTTCTGGTTCTTCTCTTTGAGACAGAAGAGGAGCTGGACCGGCATTCCCGGCCGCGGCTTGAGGATGACCTGGGTGCCCTTGACTTCCATGCCTATCTGGGTGGTATATTCGTAGATGTGAGCAGTGACGTCTTTGCCGTTAACCTGCTGTTTGGCAATGCCGTCCTGGTAAACACCTAGACCGGCAAGGACAGCTCTAGTACGTGGATTTATCTTTGCACGACCGTCTGAGACGATACAAACGACAATCTTCTTCCAGGCTTCTTTGCCCCATGTCTTGCTGCTGGTGCGCGAGCACATGTACTCGATGTTCTTGAAGACACCGGCCATTGTTCGGGCGAAGAGGAACTCGTCTTCATTGTACATAGTGACAACGATGAACAATTCGGTGTGTCGTGGTTTGGCAAACAGCCGCTGCCGCAGTGTGAACCGCTCTTGGTAGAAGTCTGCCGGGTCGCAGGTTGCAGCCGAGTAGCGCATATGAGTGAACTCGTCTCTCTCCGGGGGTTCAGCATGGTTTATCTGGCTGAGAAGCTTTGGTGGGATGGGACAGTCGAGGACAAGGTTACCGTTGAACAGCTGGACTTCTCGAACGGTCTTCCACCGTCTGATGGGCGCCGGACTGGGCGTGGGAGCCACATTCAGTGCCATGTTGGGGTCGTCTGTGTAGCCATCTGTGTCTACCGGGTGAGGGGTATGCGAGAGATCGAAGTTGCTCGGTGTGTATGAGGGTTCATGGTGCAGGATAGGCACATGGTCGTCGTACTGTCTGGGAGGATAGCTCTGGTGCTGACGGTCGTAGTCGTCTGGGGGAGTGGCCGCGGGCTCGTACGGCTGCGTATAGTAGGCATCATGATGGGCCTCCGGGGACAGGGCCAGGGGACCCGTACCTGCAGCAACCGGCCTGGGAGACGGTCTGTATGGATGCTGCTCTTCGTAGGCTTCGTTGTGGCCGTATGAGTTTTGTATGTTTTCAACGGAGTACTATATAGAGCAGCAATGTCAACATCACGAACTACCAACCATGATCAAAACCGGCAAACGAAAACAAACTCACGGTAGGCTGGTACTGCAGTCTATCCGCAGAGGGCATCTCTAGGTGTGTCATGGGCTGCTGCACCGGCTGATGAAAGGGGTTGTCTTCGAGCTGGTATCCGCCCTGGTAACGCCTCGACGGCGACGCGGGCTGGTGAGGATTCATCGAGGGCGACAGCGGCTCCTGCTCGGGCTCTGGAAATCATGTCAGAGAAGATGAAGAAGACGAACGAACGACGAACGGGAGATCGCAGGCCGTTAAATACGAAGCACCAAGCTGCGCGAAACAGCTTGCGACGACTTTGTTCAGGGATTTGGGGCAAGGGAGCTCACCGTGAAGCCGGTTGTAGGCCATTTTTTGCCGGTGGTGCAGATGTAGCTAGTTCAGCAAGACAAAGCAGACAGCTCGGAGGAGAGGAGAAGAGAAGATCTATTTAACGAGGGACTAGAAACGATAGTAAGCGAGCGCGAGGCTTGCTCTTCGTCTATCTCGCGGTCGCAGTGGCTGTTCTGCGTCTGCGTCTGCGTTTCTGCGTTGCTTTCGGCGTCTTCACTGCGTTTTCTGGCTCCCACAGCGCAAAAAAGCCTTCGGCTGCGCCAAGTTTGCTGGTCGACCAAGCAACGCGCAGCTTGTGGCGCAGGATCTAATTATATACCTACCAGACACCGGGTCGTCGTCTAGGTTCTTGGTACGAAGATAAGCAGATAGCGAGCAGGTAGTAGCCGGTGAGTGAGTGACTCTGGGGGGAAGATGGCAGCAGGCGGATGGCTGATGTTTCGTTGACAGGTGGTTGCTGGCCAGGTAGAGACGGCGACAAGAAAGACATCTACAGAGACAGCCAGCGTGTGACAAGCAAGATGACAGACGTTTCGGTGCTGTTCGTCTGCCTGGGGAACATCTGTATGTGACAGATCTGCGGGACAACGATAACTACGTCGATTGTGGACGGTTTGACTGACAGGACAGGCCGGTCACCCATGGCCGAAGCCGTCTTCAGGCACATCGCCAGCAGCAGGGACGGCAAGACGGTGACCTTCTCGAAGCTGGACTCTGCGGGGACATGTGCAGCGCATCTTCACGACCCTCCGGACCCGCGGACGATGTCGACGCTGAAGAAACACGGCATCACGGACTTCACACATGCAGCCCGCCGAGTCAGGACGTCCGACTTCACCGAGTTTGACTACCTCATCGCCATGGACCAGGAGAACTACGACTCGCTGATGTACTCCCGCAGCAGAGTCAAGGAGGAGGGGAAGCTCGCCGAGGTGAGGATGTTTGGAGACTTTGACGCCGACAGGCTGGCCGGCGGCGGCGGCAGAGGGGAGAGCGAGGAGGTGCCTGACCCTTACTACGGAGGCAGAGACGGCTTCGACCGTGTCTATGACATGGTCACCCGGCTGTCCAACGGGTTTATAGACTATCTGGAGAAGAAGCATGCCGTTGATGCCGCCAATTAGAAAATCATTCATGTTTTTCCCCGTATAATATCTTACAACCCCATAGCATCATTCTACATCCTTTTTAGACGCTTATACTCGCTGCGAGATCTGAATGGCAGCTCGACAACCCAGCCTGATGACCCCTATAAGCGGTTCGTATGGTCTGGCTTCCTTTGCATCGTTCTCGACCGCATGATCCAGGTGCTCCAGCTCCTCGTCCCTGATCCGCTTCAACGTCTGCACCAGCTGCTTCAGCTCGTCCGGAACCACCTCCCCGCGGGCCTCGGCGTCCTCCATCCAGCCTGCCAGAACCCGTATCTGGTCGTTGTAGTGCGTCCCGATCTCTGTCTCTACGGCTTCCGTGCATGCCATGGCCGCCTCCCGGCCCATCACGCCTGTTGACCACCCGAGAAACGTGGCTGCGGCCTGCCAGACGGGGTACATGGCCGTTGGGCGCACGCGGTGGGATGCCAGCATCTCGGTGAAGACTGAGAAATGGCCGGCTTCCTGGTCGTACATGTGTTTCATCAGCGGGCGGAGGTGAGGGTGCGAACGCAGGACGGGGGGGCTCTGGGCCGCGTAGATGAGGGTTGCGGCCAGCTCGCCGGCGTGGTTGACTCGGAGGGCGCTGCTCAGGTACGCCTTTTGCGATTCACTCAGCTCCATCATCTTCCTGCCGCCATTGTCGTTGTCTTTGTTGCTGCTGCTGCTGCTGCTGCTGCTGTACCGAGCTTGTATCCTGTATGTTGGCTGCGCGCTCGACAGACACCTCCGGCACGCCGGCCGCACGCGGGACACCAGCCCAGCCATTTCTCCTCCAGTCCGCCGTCTTACGCCCTCTTTTGCCTTTCCAGCGTCTCTTCTTCTATCTCTCGTCTTCTGCCTCTTCCTTTTCCTCTCGTCTTTCTCGCTTGTTTTGCTCTGCTTTTTCTTCTCCAGCTTTTTTTGCTTTGCTCGACGTCAAAACTAAGCTCATCACGTGATCCATCCTTTCAACTGCAACTTTTTTCGTGGCGAAAAGAAAGACGAGAAGGAAGCAAAAAAGGCGAAACGAGCGAGCGAGAGTAGCATCAGCAGCGGTCATCGCCATCAATCAGCAGGCAGAAGTCGGCGTATAACAAGAGGGACGCCAGAAGAAACGCGCGGGAAAAAAAAAAGACTGGAAACGAGGCCGCTCTCTGTGGTAGTCCAGCGGGCGTCTCCAGCTTAACTAGCAACACCGCAACACCTCAACAACCGCCCTTTGACCGGCGTCCTCAGCAACACAGCAGCAGCAGGCAGCAACACACGCCCGGATATCCTCCGCCTAGCCAAAGACTTCTCGTGTCTTCTGCCTCGTTCGGTCGGCTTACGGGCACAAAGGAACACAAGACAGGAAGCAAAAAGAGGAACACTCGCGCCTTCGCCATGGCTGACCTGGACGCTGAGCTGCTCGCCCTGGCGGGAGGCGATGATTCTTCCGACGAGGAATCTCCCGCCATCTCGCAGCAGAAGGACAAAGATAAAGAGCGCCAGGCCTCTCCTGGCAGCTCATCTTCCAACGACCAAGACGACGACGCGGACAACATGGGTCGCAAGGGGGTAGCCCGGCCGGTCAAGCGCCAACGCAAGAGAGCCAGAGCATATGACGATGAAGAGGAAGAGGGCGAGCTGTAAGTCAGCTCCTTTTTTTCACTGTTGTTGCAGGTCAATCGATATATCATACAGGCCTCTCTACTGTCAGCTTTTTCACGCTGTACCCTTCTACCACGATACCCCTCAGCCCAGCTGCCTACAATACAATAAAAGATTCTGCAGACTGTCAGCTAACGAGTATATAGATCCTCTTCAAGCGTTCACTCTCGCCGCTCCCTTCGATCAGCATCCATGTCCGAATCAGAGTCAGATACCTCTCCTCCTCCCGAAGAGAACCAGGGCCCCATCTTCCCTTATGAGAAGCTATTCTACTCCGCCAAAGACAAGAGTGAAATCATGGCCCTGCCTGAAATCCAGAGAGAGGAACTGCTATCAGAACGAGCTCAGCAGGTCGACCGCCATAACCAGGACATTGCCCTCCGTCGTTTGCTAGCCAACAGAGAGCGAGAGGAAGCCCGTGCCGCGGCCAAGAAGAAACGCAAGGCCGGTTCAGCTGATTTGGAGGACAGCCAGCGCAAGAGCTCACGCAAGAAGACGGTTCTCGGCGGACGCAAAGTGGGTGAGCCCTCAGATGCGATTGAAGCATACAAGCGTCAAAGAGAGCAAAAGGGGAAGCGAGATGAGCAGCGTCGGCGTGATGCTTCTTCACGAAAGAATAACAACGCCAGCAGCTCTCCTGCTCGAGAGGCAGATGATCGAGACGCCAGTGGTGAAAGTGAGGTCGAGTGGGATGATAAACCCCAACGCAGGAGTGTCTCACCCCCGCGTTACGATCCCCCAGCTGAACTGCGGGAGTTACAGCGTGCCAGAATTGCACGCAGCAACTTTGCCCAGGTCTGTTTCTATCCTGGCTTCGATCAGGCTATCAGCAACTGCTACACCAGAGTCAGCTTGGGACCAAACCCGTCAACCGGAAAACCGGAGTACAGAATTGGTCTGATCAAGAGTATGTTCATATATGTCCCCTCCTAGCTCTCTAGCTCGTGACTCTTTGCTAACATTGCTTAGAATTCACCGAAGGACGCCCGTATGCTATCGAGGGGCCAAATGGACGCAACTTTGTCACCACTCAGTACTGCCTTCTGGCTCATGGCAAAGCTGAAAAGGAGTTCCCCTTTATCGCCTGTTCCGAATCCCCCTTCACTGAGGTAGGTTATATAACGAAACAAGGTCCTATCGAGGGTAAAACTGACATTATTAGGCTGAGTTTAACCGCTATCGGAAAACCATGGCAGTGGATGGCCTCAAGATGCCCACAAAGTCCGCTGTCGACAAGAAAGTAGCAGACATCAACCGCTTGCTGGCGCACGACTTCACTAAAGAGGAGCTCGAGGAGAAGCTTCGTCGCCAGGGCACAAACGACAACAAACAGCTCATCTACAACCGCATCCAGCTTGAGCGTCGCCGCAACGAGGCCATTGCTAACAAGGATGAGGCAGCCATCGCAGAGTGCGATGCTGAGCTCGCCCGCCTGACTGGCCCCAAGCTCGCCTTTGGCACCACACTGGTCAAGCCACGCCCTAACGAGAAGACGCAGCAAGAACGTCTCGCCGAGCTGAACATGCGCAACCAGAAGCTCAACACCGAGAATGTGCGCAAGGCCCAGCTGGCCGAGCGTAAGGCAGCAAAACTAGCCGCCGCAGCCGTCGCCCGAGGAGAGGCCGTCGCCGACCGCTTTGCACGTGTCAAGACCAGAGCGAGGACGTACTACGAGTCCACGGATGGTCATCTCGTCCCCGTCAAGCCCGAGGCCGCCATTGCTGATCGCAGCCGCGCCATCACCCCGACCACCGCCAGTAACAACACCGATGCCACCAATACGCCTGCCAACGGAACCACACCCCGCAGCGTTACTCCGTCCAAGCCAGCCACTCCAAAGGTCTACAAGGGCGTCCCTGTCATTCGTCACCGGCCGACAGACGAGGACAACATCGCTGCCCTGGACTTGGACATCGACATCGAGATCTAAGCTTTCATACGCTAACTACCAACTCTTTCACACCTGTATCACCATGATCTTTCTTCTGCTTCTACCCTTGTATCTTTTTCTTTTACATGCGCGCTCGGAGTTATAGCGACGGAGAGGAATCTGGCTGGGTCTTTCTACACATCTCTTTATGCTTGTCTTTCTTCTGCTTTTTACTGAATAAATAATTACAAAAATGACCTAAGTATTTTGATGGCTTCTCGTTCACTCGGCCAATCACTTCATCACGTGATAGAATAGATGTCACTTTTAGGTTTATTAGTAAGCCATGGACCCACTTTAAAGTCAAGTGGTCTGTGCATGATGATCGAGGCCCAAAGAGGAAATAAAAGACGCCGATCGCCAAAAAGCTACATCAAAACATCGAAAGGAACAACGCAAAGGCAAAAGGCAAGCGAAAGATACAAAGCAGACAACTCGATATACAAAATACGACGCACCCTCAGACGCCGGTCCCTGTACACAACAAGGCTACCTCAGCAGTCTCGACGTGGGCGCTGGAGCCTGGCTTAGCTTGCGCGCATCCCTGTCCAACTATATATAACACGAACTGCTTACCTGTCCATTTCAACGACCGGGATGGCCGGATAATCTACCGCGGGCTTGTCGACCTTGCTTGACCCGTGAATAAGAACGAGAAACCAGAGATCCCAAGTCTACGTCGCCCATAACATACTAGCTGGCTGCTTTTGTGCGAAGATGGCGGGCATGGAAGAATTGGAGATACACAGCAAGGTAAATAAGGGCCGCACACCCCCTTTGCAGCAGGGGGAGTCCTGGATGATTCACGATATCCCCTCCGTCGATGTATCCATAGCGGCTAACGTCTACTATTATGTTCCTGTCTGTCTCAGTCGTATCTCGTCCGCTGGATAAACGTCAGCGCTGAACATACGATATCGTGGAGCATCCAGCCACATAAGAAGTCCCTCAATTTCGGAATCTTCAAGCACCCCGGCGCCTCGGGGCTTGCAGTCAACAGCGCTGCCTCTACGTATTCGCAGACTACGGGAAGTGATATCAACGATCTTTCGAAGGAGAATAACGGCCCCGCCAAACAGACGGATTCCTCGCTTTTAATCACCGAGAAGCTCAAGGGTGTTGGGCTGAAACCGATCGAGTGGATTGGGAAATGTGAGGCCGACAAGATATCTCAGGGGACGTATGATGTGGGCGCCAGCGAGGGAGGGAACTACGCACTTGTGTTTGACAACACATTCTCTAAGCAGATCTCCAAGACCGTTACGTTCGTCCTGCTCACGTATCCTACCAGCTGCCCGCCACGATCCGGACACCAGGTCCATCACACTCAGGCCATAGCAGGTCCGATCGGATCACAGGCCCCCTCACGTCCGAGTCCGAAACTCAACGCGACTGAGACAGAGGCGGAAGCAAAGGCTCGGGCTCAACAGCGCGGACGGCCAGGGTTCGGCGCTGCTGCTGCAGGCAATTCGAACGGACCACTTCCCACCACAGACTCGTCTACAAGCATCGCACCATCAGTACACACTGGTATACTGTCAAAGAGACGTCGTAAGCGACACCAGGGCTATGCCAGGCGCTTCTTTTCCTTGGACTTCAACTCATCAACCCTATCGTACTACCACGATCGCAATTCTTCTGCCTTGAGAGGTGCCATCCCGTTATCTCTGGCCGCTATCGCTACCAATGAAAATACTAGAGAGATATCAATCGATTCAGGAGTGGAGATATGGCATCTTCGCGCGCTGAATAACGTTGACTTTCAGGCCTGGAAGGAGGCTCTAGAGAAAGCCTCGAAGCAAGGTGATACAGCAGGGGAAGAAGATGGTAGCCTCAAGGTGCCTACGTTGATCACCAGGAAACATAGCGTGAACAAACCCAAGTCCCAAGATTGGAAAACTATCGAGCGATTAGTTGAATCGGTATCTGCTTCGAGAGAGAAAGTGCGTCAGCTAGCCAAGGATACAGACCCAAAATACCTCATGCCAACTCCAGACTATGAGGGTAACCAAAGCCAAGCAAACGGCGTACGTCGTGTCTCACAGCCTGGAGATGTCTCTGAAAGCAAGGAGAAACGATCGTTTTGGAAACTCAAGGGTAAAAGTGACAGTGGCAGCAGCACTCCAAACCAACGGCCGGCTCTATCCCCCCTAGGACCACAACAAACTCCTCCACTCAGCAATGAAGGCTCTTATTTCGACGGCAGTTCATTTAAATCTGGACTTGGAGCTGGCGTTCATGATGACTTGATGATCCTGCTCCATGATCTGAACGCAGTTGTCTCCGAGTTTAATGCCCTGTTAAGCGATAGAACCCGGTCCAGGACCCCGATAGCAATACGGCCTGCCCACTCTGTAACAGCTGACTCTGATTCAGAGGAGTTTTTCGATGCCGTGGATGGAGGAAACGTCTCTCCCTTGTTAACAATTCACCAGGATAGTGGCGAAGAAGACTCAAAGAGCGTCGTGACTGCTGTTGATGACGACGCCGCGTCGTCGTCTGGAAGCGACGTGGATGATAGAGACGAATTCCTACGAGGTGACTTCAAACTTGACTCCTCATCCTCACTATTCCCGGTGAAAGCACGGTCACTTGCTCCCTTGCCTATGGATGCACCGCCCCGCAGATCAAGGATAGAACCGCCAATTGGCCTGCCACCAAGTTTGATCAGCTTTATGCGGAAGAATATCGGCAAGGATCTATCAACTATATCAATGCCTGTGTCTGCCAATGAACCCATTTCATTGCTTCAACGAGCGGCAGAGCAGTTTGAATATTCCCAGCTTCTTGACAAGGCAGCCAATGCTACCGACGCACTGGAGCGGTTGATATATGTAACTGCCTTCGCCCTCTCGCAATTTTCCAATTCACGAATCAAGGAGCGGACTATTCGCAAACCTTTTAACCCCATGTTAGGCGAGACTTATGAGCTTGTTCTGCCAGAGAGAGGTTTCCGTTTCATCGCTGAAAAGGTCTCTCATAGGCCTGTCCAGCTAGCCATGCAGGCAGATTCGCGTGACTGGAGCTTCATCCAATCCCCCAAGCCTACACAGAAATTCTGGGGCAAGTCCGTTGAGATTATTACAGAAGGCAAATCTAGGCTAACGCTGCACTCGAGTGGGGAGCATTTCAGCTGGTCTGCCGGCACCCAGTTCCTGCGTAATATTATTGCTGGCGAGAAGTACGTTGAACCTGTCGGTGAAATGTGTGTCCTCAACGAGACCACAGGCCAAAAAACAATCGCCGTATTCAAAGTCGGTGGCATGTTCTCTGGTCGTAGCGAAGAGGTCACAGTCAAAGCCTACGATACACATGGTGAAGAACTTCCCCTTGGCCTGCAAGGGACCTGGACCTCGTCTCTCCAGCTGACGGAGCACGGGAACCTGACAAACAAGACTATATGGGCTGCCGGTCCGCTGGTCGACAAGCCACAAAAACACTACGGCCTGACTGAATTCGCAGTGGCCCTGAATGAAATTACGGCCGTTGAACAGCGGAAGCTACCACAAACAGATAGTCGTCTTCGACCTGATCAACGTGCATTAGAAGAAGGCAACGTCGACGAAGCGGAAGATATCAAGGCACGACTCGAGGAAGCCCAGCGTTTCCGCAGAAAAGAGATGGAACAAAGTGGCGAAACATGGCGTCCTAGGTGGTTTACACACGTTGACGTCGATGGTCTGGATGGAGGAGACGATATATGGAAACTCCGTACTGGCAAGGATGGATACTGGGAAGAGAGGGCAAAGGGCGAGTGGACGGGCACCACGCCTATTTTCCAGTTATAATTAATTAGACAAATGGAGGTATAGACGCAGTTTTTGGGTGGTTTTTGGGAGGAGTATTTGCTTGCTTGTCATTTTATGCTGTATCATCAATCGATTTCGCTTTGGCTTGCTTAATATGCCTCGAGATACGAGTCGATGTCTAGGCATCTGCATATAGAATGTTTGTGATTATTGGTATGGCTATTTGAAATAATTGTCTCCAGGAACTAATCATTAGGGGCCCCGGCTCAGGACAGTAGCTATAAGCCTGCTCGCCTTTTCACCTCCAAGATAATACCGGCCGTCCTTGCGAGTACTGCCCTGGCCGTCATCTCCCTCCATGTCACTATCCTCTTCCTCGTCATCCAGAGCCAGGCTAGCTTCATAGGCCTTCATAACCGTCTCCTGGTCGACCTTGACTCCACCCTCGACTAGAACGCGAATACATCCAGCGATTCTGGTAATTTCCTTTCTTGTGGCCAGCGGGATATTATCGTTCTGACTCGAATACATCGACGTGCTAACCATATCTTCCAGTCGCGTGAACGAGACCTTCGACTTGAATCCGCTGCTATCTTCTTCCGAAGGGTCGCGAACATGTTTGGAAATCCAAATATATCCGTTCACGCCGAGGATGACATCAATTGGGCCACCGTATGCAGTTTCAATAGTCCACACCTGCCTCCTTGACCTGACTACACCTGTACCTCTGGCCGTTCCGCTACCACCACCCATACCGCTCACGGCCAAAAACAAGCCGTTACGTAGTTTGCCATATTTCAACGATCTGGTGTGTAAGGATGCAGCGCCATCTCCATGTACCGTTTGTACTTCTGCCACCACGAGATCACCTTCATTGAAGAACGAGCGAATCTGTAGCTCGTCTGCAGCTGTACGCTTGCGTAGGATTCCACCGGGCAAGTTGATCGCTGATAGAGGTAATTGTGCGAGTAACGGAGCTGAAACGTCAACCTTCCATCGCTTTGATTGCACTTCGACTATTCGGCCGACGACCAAGTCGCCGATTTCAGGTGTGTAGCGAGCGCGCAACGGGTAGACAGAGAGAAGCTTATTGGTCTTGAGCACTGTTCCAGCTACAGTCGCTATTATATTTGTTGTCGCCGGTACCGCAGGTGTGAACGTTCCATGGCCTCTGCAAAAGGTTCATCCATTAGTCTAGGACGTCGAAGTAGAGCGGTATATTGAGACACCACCTACCTCATCCATTGCGGGTCATCTGTAATTATCTCTCCAGGGGTGACAATGGTATCTGTTATGCCAGACAGACGAGCTCTCTTTGCTGGCCTGTTTTCATCGCCCATGTCCATGTCTTCATCCGAATCTTGTACATCCCGTGCTGTATTTCGAAAGTCGTCAAACGTCGGTGGTAGAATAGTAATGGCCATTTTATCGGTGAATACAAGTAAGAAGGCCTTAACGAGCTAAGATAGTTAATTCAAGCTAAGTGAATGGGATGAGGTGTGTTGATTCGAATTGTTGTTTCGCTGATGAAGCTGTGGAAAGTCGAGATTGTGAAGGAGAAACTTTTTGGTGCGGGAAACTCAAAGTCTTGGCATTCAAAGGTTTCTCAAAGTTCAACTTTGCATCTTCAACTACAAACTACAAAGTTGGCCTATTCTATAGCTGTCATTATTTGTGTCTCCATATTCAGATAAACTTGGTGTATGGAAGAATATCGACTATTCAAGTACTATAGCCGAAGAGATGCACTACTAACTATCAAATCTTGAGAAATAAGAAATAGTTCCATTCTATTGCATATCTATACCTCCTATCTAGTCCAAAGGCCCACGAATTTCACATCCTCATAGCTTCTGACTATTCGTCATATTCCAAGACTATTCTTCTCCAAAGTAACTCCTTGACAACTGATCAATTTCACATTGAAAATTACTCACCCTGCCCCATGGCCATGTAGAAGGCTTCTTGGCCCTCTTTCAGGATTTTGTATCTGCTCTCCAAGTGCTCACGCCGGCGTATCATATCGATGGTCTCGGCTGCTAGAAAATGTATCTGTTTGTCGCTGTAGCGTGCTAGTACCCTGGGTGCGAAAATTTCATTCAGGGGTGCAACCAAATGACGCTCAACGACTTGTTTCGCAATCACATCAATAAAATATTTCCGCTCGGTCTATACATGCACGTTAGTTACTCCAGATACCAGAATCATTCCAAGCACATACCTTGTAATAAGCGTTGAGAGTATCAAGCGCTTGTTCCGCAGCAAACTTATCCATGTTCTTCTCAACAAGACTATCGATACCGGATAGAAACTTGTCAGGTTTGAAGTACTCCTTTGTTTGAAACTTGGGCTCACCGGTACCCGTTTTTTCAGAAACATGTACCGCTGATTGCTTGGCTAAATTCCGGACTTTATCCACCCAGTATTGAGTCCGAGTCTTCTGCAGGGTATCCGTGAAGTAGTGGTTGTATGTGATAGGATGTCTCTTCCTGTCGTCGTTGATTCGCTCAAGCTCATTCAAAGCAGCCTCGTGGGCAGCTCGGAGAGCTGGAACCACTGTCAGGGTCATGATCCGGGACATCAGCTCGGGAGTTGCGGTATACTCTAAAACTTGGACTAGGAAATCCTTGCATTTAAGAGCAACGTTGTTGGCATGGTCTTGCGCAATGGCTTTCCATCCTGAAGACTGCTCCCAAAACAAGTGGCTTGTTAACATCGGGTTGAATGTCCCAGGGAGTTCACGGCCGCGATTGCGTTTAATGACCTGGACGATTCGTTTAACAGCCTCTTTACGAGTGAGATTCTCGACGGCTCCTAACGATGATCTCACTGCTGGTGAAATAAAATCATCCTCTGGTGATCCCTCTTCTGATGACTTGTTTTCACTCTGGCCGTCACAGCCATAAACATAATATTTATGTCCCTTCTGGTTCATGAGGTCTGCAAACCGAGAGTTCAGGTATTGTACAACAGCTCTGAGGCGAGAAGAATTTTCTTTTCCGTCAATATTTTTCGTGACATTGACCGCATTGAAAAATTTCTCCTCATAATTCCCATTTATTCCCATCGCAACGAGGTCATTAGCAGATCCAAAGAAGTCCGCCAGGTACGCCCGTTGGTCGGCTATCGTAGCACGGCTCCTTCCAAGGTGTTCAAGTTCGATGTGAACGCTGTTTGCCATTTTGTCAAGTTCCTCTTTCAGGATTGGCAGCTCCCTTTTTAGATGGTTAAACAAAAGCTCACTTAATCGTTGACGAAGAGAATCAATCCCTTTGACGCTTTGTGGGAGTTCATTGTAATTCCCAGTGTTGAAGAATACACGCTCTTTGCTATTGCGCTCAGCAAAAGACAATTGGTGTTCGTCGTCGCTGCGATTCTTCAACAAGTGCCATCCTAGTTCGAAATAAATATCTCTGTTCCTCACTAAGTCAAGCCATGATTTCTCATTTTCTGACCCTGGGCGTAAAAAGTCCGGTTTCGTTACCACACCAAGGGTTCGTGCGCCATTCGGGTCAAATAAACGACAATTCTTAAGAATGACTTGGTTAGCATAGTCGTTCTTTGCCGAGATCACAGCAAGGATGATAGTTCGTTTCTGTGAGATATAGCTCTCAACTAGGGACTTGATAAGCTCTACATCTTCGTCTGATTGCGTCTTGTTGGCCGAATGAATAAGACCGGGCAGATCAACTACTGTCCTAGTTAACCAAAAAGTAAGCAAAGACGAACCGGTTGCGTTACATCAGTAATCGGCTAATAAAACTCACAATTGCGGCAAATCAGGTCCACATATTTCAACGCTGAGCACATCCCTTGAAAATGCTACTTTATCACCCAAACCCATAGCATTAGTAGCATCGTCAATTATTGAGGGAAGTTCTGTAAAATCATGGATAGACTTCGAAAATTTGCGAAGTTCGAGCTTTTCTTCCTCAGTGCGCCCCGTATCCGGGTTTATCTTGCAATGGATTGCGGACTCCACATCTCGTCTCATAATAATCTCTGTTGCAAAGCGGGTACAGAGGTTCTCTTTCCGTGGAAAGGGAATCTCCGTGATGGCTTCAAGGACGGAGCTTTTGCCAGAAGATTGATCACCACAGACGACAATCTGTGGCAGCTGCAGAACCGAGCTTAGCCCTGCACGCCGAAGACGGTCAACCAGATTCATCAGATCACGTTGTTCGATACTTTGAAGCCCAACTAAAGACTCGGTTGCCATTATAGCTTCCATGGAAGGTGCCGTGCCATCAGTAGCTAACATAGAGTAAGTCTCTGCCTCTCCCTTTCTCTACCTAGCTCGTTAGTAAACGCCATTGTCAACAGGTAACGGGTTAATAAACTTACGGGGTCACTGAGAGTTCTCATTCTTATTCTCGGAGATTCGGAAGGATACTTTGGCAGAAGAGTTCCGTAAAATAAGTAGTATCTCCAACAGGGTGTAAGAAGCAGTGTAGACGAGATCATGAACCTCATGGGTATAGCAGGCACTCTATATCTCTGGGGATATGGGAAAATTATGACATTCTGTATCACTGAGCTGAACGCTAAACAGGGTAATGAACATGTTGTGGAACATATAAAAACAAACAGAAAAGCCACGTAATATGATGGATGAGACAGAGGCCTCCTTTCTGGGCCTGTCTGTCCCGTATTTTCCTAAATTCCCAAAGAATATGCAAGTTTGAAGCCATCTTAGAAAATCAAACAGGGGTATGCATGGGTTAGATGCGTACATAGAGACGTTCGCAGATCTAGGCAGAGGATAGATGCATCTCATAAGGTAACAGAAGTAAAAAAATATCCACCTGCTCCGTACCTCCTATGATCTCTATAGTTCCAGTTATCTTCATGCAGGCGTAAAAAGGACGCCTCACTTCTCACCGCTAGTTGGTAGAGGTAAAGAGTTGAGTTTGTTTCTAGATGCACTTTCCAGTAGTTAACTAGTTAACTACAGTAATTCCTGGGTCAAGTGAAGAGCAATCAGGTGGTTATCAAAAATATCAAACAGCTAACTAGTTAGCTAACTAGCTAGTTAGCGTACTCGAGTCCTTGGATTCATTGTTGCACAGTTCCAGTTCCACCAGTCTGCATTTAATTACGTAGTCAACAGGATACCCTGGGATGTCTATTCCTACCGCAGTCGTAGCCGAAGTGGAACCCCCGATTGTCGCAGTTGTCACTGATGCGGTAGTTAGTTATGGGGCATCTAGACAAAGCTCACACGGCCCAGATTGATATCACAGCTGCAGAATCGCGGCGTTTCGCCTCGCAATCTACACCACTCTGGCCAAAAACTTTCCCTTGTCTTTGATATATATATGTTGTCGCATCAAAAATCCTCTCTCTATACCTATTTTGATTAAGTTAGGTACAGTAAAATACCGCATAAGCAAAGACCGTATCTATAGTCAAGTACTGACCATTTCTCCATTTCTTAAACGCACTTTATTCCCAGAATCAAGGAAACAACATGAACTTCTCATCTGATAGGAAGCCCTAGTATATTTCAACCTACCAAAAACAGAGTATCTTGAGTGATCTGCAGCCTGTGCAGTAACATTGGTCCATTTGTGCTGAAGAATGATATTGTTAGTTTTATCCATGCCATATCAGCTCGACGGAGGGAACAGAACTAGATCTTCCGACAAAAATATAGAACAGACAAAACTGGCTGCAGTGCCATACGCGCAAAATCAACTAAAGAGACGCTAAAATATTCCTGATCTTATTGTATAACTATAATGGAATAAGATGAGTAAACTTACGTTTTTCGCTAGCCTGAGACGATAATAGACAGAGCTTGTTTACGTATATCCAATGGTGGCATTTCGAAAGCGTGTCATGCCGCCAAGTTTTCTTGTAAGTAGTAAGTTAATACTGCGATAAATTGAGGAAATTCTAATGTATGCTTGATACTTGCCGGATCAACGACGGCCTGGATGACGAAAGCCACTTGCGTGTCAACACCAGCCCTAATGCCTAGAAGCGCTTCTAAGCCATAAATCAACCGGGGGAGGAAGCGATATTGATCATCAGGTATGCCCAAATATGATAGATTTTCCGCTCCTTTGTGTTATGTTTGTTTTTGTGAGGTTCGACAACTTTGACTTCGCGATTGAACTAAAATAAGCTCCCGGACGGCTCGAGCCCGCAAGAGCTAAGTTGAGCCGCATCGGTCGTAACTAATGGAGAAGTGTATACAATTGAACTTCGTCTAGCTTAATATAGATAGAAAAATACAAGCAACCTTGAGTCAAACCTCCCTACGTCAACCCCCAGAACTTCTTGGAACCCTCGGGTGTCGTTAGCCACGCTGCCTTTCTTTTACAAAAATACTCCAAGTTTGGTGGGCCCCAACTCTCTCCCTCCGCGAAGTCTATGGTACCACCCGACACAATCACCACACCAGGAAGCTTGCCCTTGTTCTCACTAACGACTGATGAGCCGCAAGTTACGCAGAATGATCGTTCGATAGTGACTCCAGAATCCGTTGAATTGTCGGAGTATGTCGCAAGATTGTCTTTGCCTTCGGTAATCTTTAGTGCCTAGTTTTATGTTAATATAACTAGTTTCGATGGTAGTATAGTTAGAGAGAGACGGGAGCCATATTGCACAGTATTGGCAAGGGGCACATAAGAGTTTAGGTGCATTACCTCCTTTTTATACCAGCTATTCGCCATGCCGACAGAGCCCGTTGCTTTTCTGCAGTTGTCACAGAAACATAAGACAGAGTTGGTCGGAAGTCCTTCGAGCTCATAGCGTACTTTGCCGCAGAGACATGAGCCCGTGGTCTTTGGGTTAGAAGATGCCATTATTTGCCGCTCGTGCACCTTTTATGCAGTTATGAAGCCCTAGTTATCAAAGTATTTGAAGTGCTCGGGGGGTTATAAGTTTGTAGCGAGGAATGAAATTCAGAGAATCTACTCCGTGCTGGCCAGGTTTATAACCCCGCATGTCTCATCCTTCACGGCTCAGGATCGCAGTTCTTTAGAGCTATGTGCGGATGACGTACATGAATAATCCCTGGAAGTATTTGGTTAACTAGTTAGGGTTGAGTTACGGCTCAGTGGTTTAGAGATGCATCGAGACAAACTGGATTGTATTATGTATAGAACTAATGCAGATGCAATGAAGCGTGTTTCTATATACAAGCAAGTAGTTATAACGGTTAAATTTCAAGGCAAGGAAAGTTCAAGGCTCCAAGATAATGTCCGTTCCCACACAACGATTGCATACAAAGAGGTTCTTTGGGTCAATTCGCCGTTTGATGGAGAGAAGACGGGCGTATTTGTCTCCCCAGAAGGCGTTTTGCCAGTCGGGCTCGTATCTATAATGCGGTCAGTATGTATAGCCAAGCTTGGGACATCTTTAAAAGGGGGCATGTGACATACGGGCTTGCCTCGTTGAGGTAGGTTCCAGTCTCCTTTCCAACAATTTCAGCGAGCCTCTTAGAGACTTCGGCGGAGGTCTTCTTGGCTGCCTTCTTTTCCTTTTCAGAAGCGTTATCCGCCCAGTCAACGCTGAAGCTGATAAGTGCTCGGCTGTTCTTGAACGAAGAGTGAACTGCGGTGTTATCTCGCTCATCGGAGTTGACTTTGACAACTATATCAACGACATGTTAGTATCCAGACTTTTCCCCTGGTAATAGAGGGAAACTCACTTGAGTTAAACCCAGGACCGGTGGTAGGATATTCAAACATGAGATCGACAAGGTCTCTAGCACGCTCCGTGAGAACTTGGCGGCTTACCAACCTCGAGGCATCAATGACGTTGGTAGCGATGTTGGGATCGCGAAGGAAATTCTTGGAGTATTCCAGGAAATCCGGGAACACGTAGGATACAGCCCCGCCTGTGACACCTGGTAAGGTTGCAATCTCGTTCATTGGTTCGAAAGTCTTGTTGAAGTTTTCCATGGTTGCATTGGGCTGAAGGAAGATGACTTGGAAGGCTGTTGGGTTGGACTTCTCGGTGGCATAAACGCCATATCCTACCCATCCGGCTTCAGTGATGTCGGGGAGAGCCTGGAGGGTCTTTTCGATGACTACCCGGCGGGAATCTTCGGTGGTGATATTGAGCTGGGCGATTCCAACTCTGATATGAGTTGGCTTTGGGTGTGTCTTGTAGGTCACAGAGGTAATCACCTAGGAGAAGTTAGAATTGGTCTACAGCATGAATTTAAGGAGAACTTACACCCCAAGCACTACCGCCACCACCGCGGAGGGCATAGAAATAGTCGGGATCAGTGTACTGATTGATAGTCTTTGCTTTGCCCTGAGCAGTAACAAGATTGACCTCGAGTACATCTAGTTTCTTTGTGAGTTAACTGCAATTTTCCAATTGATGCTGGACGCACTTACTGTCGACAGCAAGTCCATAGAAATGAGAAAAGGGACTGACTCCTCCGCCGGTCATGAAGCCACCAGCAGCTCCCACAGTTTGTGCAGAACCACCAGCGAACGTAACCCCTTCAGCTGCCGCAGCCTTGTAGACATCTATCAATCTTAATTAGCAATGTTAAATAAAAAGATTAGTTCAACATACCGAGCAACTGCTCTCCTGCCTGAAGTGTAACAGCCGGAATACCGCTAACATTGGATGGAGCACCCTTTGGCTTGAACGACTTATGCCACTCTTTGCCCTTGAGATTGTGAGTCCAGATGGAAAATGCACCGCTGCCACTTGACCGACCAAGGCTTTGAAACAGATTGTTAGCTGCTATCTGTTAAATAGTAATGTAATGATAGGGAAGTCTCACTGGTCATGACCGGTATTCTTCACAACAAGGTAAAGATCATGCTTATCCGCAAACTTGACTGCCTTCTCAATATCCTTTACACCGCTGGCAGAGACAGAGTAATACGGCACAATGCCCTGGTCACATCTATCCTCTTTGGGCGTGTTGATGAAACACTGTCCCTTTTCACCAAGCTCCCATAGGATAGCAGAGTATGCACCCGTCTGGTTTGTCCGCCAGAAGCTATCCGTCCAGCGCTCCTTTGCCACAGAGCACGCAGCGGCATCGTACTGGGCTGTATGGCACACAGCAGCTGCCGGGAAAGTGCGTATCAGACGGCCTGAGATGGTTGAATTGAAGTCCTGCCAGACATGCTCCTTGGGCCAGCATGCGTCCCCGGCAGAGCATCTGGGGTGTTTCCCGGGGTAGCTTTGAGCCGGTGAGGCGAGCAGCGGGAGAGCCAGCAGGACTTGCTGGCTGGGGATTTTCATGATTGATTAGAGTATTATAGTTAAGGATTGACTTATTAAATGCAGTAGATGGATGAGAAATGAATTGATGTCCTGTCTATGGAGGATAGACGGGAGGAAAGAAGTAGAGGTATATATACTATTCGCCATAGTATATACAGGACGCAGAACACGGCGAATCTCCCAGTTAAGCAATTCATCGTTCATGAGAGGCTTTTCTCTGCGCCATCCAGCGTGACATGGATCAAGTCGGGTCTGGCCAAGTTCCAGAGTCTCGTTGACTGGTCAGTTCGAAGGTTGAGGCTCGAGAAGAAGAAACGAAGAGTCGAAGATACGCAGATTTGCCTAAAGGGGAGATCGGCGTGGCTGAGCTGGGTTGAAACAACACGAGCAACTCAGGGGAATACGACGATTTTACTCTTCATAATTAAACGAAGATGGAGATGGGATGATGAATTGGACTCTTTATGCTTATAATAGTTGGTTCTGTGGAGGTACTCCGTATACGGTGCAGATATTGATGGCATTGCTATGGATAAAGACTCCCTAATGATGATAATAACACAAGGACGGATGCCCATCAAGTACATACAGTAAGTAGATGATTAGTAGTCGGTACCAGTAGTAATACAAACAAATGAAATATCTTCGTAGCCGTGTATAGATAGTTAATGGTAGTAGACTTGCTATGATGCGGCCGCAGTGGACGCCGTGGACGGTCTTTTGGCTCGTTTATCGTCTCTCTTTTTCCTCCCTCGGTTCCCGCCCTTGGGATGATACACGCCGTCTTCCTCTCGCTTCCGCTTGGCCCTGCTGCCTCCGCTCCCGGCGTTGGCAGCGGGCTCGACGACGTCCACCAACACGCCGTCTTCATCGTACACCTCTTCCTCCTTGGGTGCCTGCGCCGAAGCCCGTTTGGAGCGAGTAGAGCTCGGCCGTGATGCTGCTGCGGGCTTCTCAGACTGAGCGGAGCCACCGCCGGCTGCGTTGGCAGAACTGGTGCCGGCCGGGGGTGCTTCCGGGTCATGAGCGAAGACCTGGGGCTTATTCTTGCGTAGCCAGTTGTAGACTGACGATGGGTTGCGGATGAGCAGTGCTTTCTCCCTGTCTGCTACGGGGAGATGTTTGCTGGTTGAGCGGGCATTCGTAAGGTCTATGCGTCGAGGTTCGCTGGGGATGAGATAGTCCACGTCGTCCTCGGGATGGATGAAACCGAGAGAAGCCTCGAGATCATTGTCCTGAGCAGTAGCATCGTCGGAGGACGGGGTGGTATGCGGCACGTTCTTCAGCAGCGAAGTGATGCTCGCGGTTGGCGCAAAGGTGTTGCTTTTCAACATGGACAGCTCGAGTTCCTTGCACTCGTCTGCGGTCATCTCACCAGCCAGAAGCTTCTGCTTGGCCTCGTTGAGCTTTGCGCGGGCTGTCTGGGCGTCACACTCGACGATGGGGATGGAGTCTGGCTGGTCGGACATGGTCGTGTGTAGCTGCGAGTCCTCCTCCTTGTTGAGATCATACCGTAGAGATCGGGGGATGTGCACCGTATTGTTGAGTTCGAGGAGCAGTTCCAGCAGTTGGCTATCAACAGTCAGCATCAAAGCAGTCAAATACCGAGCAATAATAATAGGATGTCGACGCACTCGTTCTGCTCTCTCAGACGCTTCGAGAGGTCGTGAATCCGCATCTCCTCGCGGGCCAGCGCCGTGCTGTCTTTCATCACGGCCTCGAACTTGATCTTCTGCTTGCCGTACTTGCGCCTGGAGGAGTCAACAGTCAGTATCATCCAGTCTATGTCTTTTCTATGCCTTCTCTCAACAAGGAGCAGCCTTACTTGAAGGACTTGAAGGACCGAGTGACGGCTGGCGACGCCGGGGCAGCAGCAGCAGCAGCAGCAGCAGCAGCAGCAACAGGCTCCGCGTCGGGCATGCTCTGCGTCTCGGCCATGTCGAGGGACTCAGTATCGTTCGACATGCTTATCAACTCGTCGCAAGGTCGTCTTCAGCAGCAGCAGCAGCAAGTCCTCTCTCTCTCGTCGTCGTCGTCGTCGTCGTTCTTCCGCGACGTTTCGTCTTCTCCGTCGGTTTCTTCCTGGTTTTTCGCGTCGTCGAGATTTCTTCCGCTTTTTCTTCCTTTTCGCCCGCCAAGCTTCCCGCACAAGCTTTTTGTTTCTTTTGCATCTCCGGATTTTTTGGACTTTTTTTTTTTTATCTTCTGTTCGTTCGCTTTGACAGCTTCGAGAGTGCTGGTCTCAGCCATTGAATAGGGATATAGAAGAGAAATAGATACCCATTGAGAGAGAGATGTCAGATAGCAGCTCCAGTTCGCGGACACCGTCTCCACGGCCGTCGCGGAAGCGCAAGCATGTGCCTGATGAGCCACCGCTCGAGATCGACCTGAACGCACCGGAGCCGGCCTCGAAGAAAGCCCTGCGGAAGGAAAAGAAGGCGAAGATAAAGTCGAGCTCGAGTGGAACGACAGTGCCGGCAGTCAGTGAAGGCACAGAAAAGGGCAACGAGACGCAGAAACCAGAGAAGAATGACAGCAACAAGAAGCAGAGGACAGGCTTCGGAGTGTGGATTGGAAACCTGCCCTTCACGGCCACAAGGGAGACGCTGCGGACGTTTCTGATGAGCAAGAGCGGGATCCTCGACAGCCAGATCACTCGCGTCCACATACCGGACAGCGGGACGAAGCGGAAGGGCGTCAAGCAGAACAAGGGGTTCGCATACGTCGACTTCACGAGTCAGGAGATTGTCGAGCGGGCCATAGCGTTGAGTGAAGAGCTCGTTGGTGGCCGAAGGGTGTTGATCAAGGATGCTACCAACTTCGACGGCCGGGTGGTGAAGGAAGCTGACGGAGACGACTTGAAGGCGGCCGGAGGAAATCCACCATCAACCAAGATATTCGTGGGCAACCTGTCCTTTGACACCACCAAGGAACACCTAGAAGAGCACTTCAGTCCCTGTGGAAGCATATCGAACATACACGTCGCCACGTTTGAAGACTCTGGGAAATGCAAGGGCTATGCGTGGGTGGAATTCGAGTCTACCCAGTCCAGCCAAGCTGCTGTACGCGGGTTTGTCAAAATACCTGATCCAGACGATGAAATAGAGGAAGCAGAAGAAGAAGTGGAAGAGGAAGAGGAAGAAGAAGATGGAGCTGAGGGAGCAAACGGCGCGGGTACGAAGAAGAAGCCCAAGAAGCGGCGTATGAAGAAAGTATGGGTGAACCGGCTTCAGGGCCGTAACCTACGCATGGAGTTTGCAGAGGACTCAACGACACGGTACAAGAAGCGGTTTGGCAAGGAGAAGACGGAAACAAAAGAAGAGGCTGGCTCTAATAATAAGCCTGCGAGTGAGGCTACGCAAGGAAATGCCAATCTCAAGCAGAAGAGCAAAAAACCTATCAAGTCCTACGGCCAGTACTCTACGGAAACTGTACAGAAACTGTCTGGAGCTATAGTGGAAGCAAAGGGGACCAAGGTGACATTCGATTGATTGAGTACTAGAATACATAAGATGCATTATCAGTCAACGATATCAATTCCCGCTACTTTTTTAAATGTTGACCATTGATCTTGGTGGACAGGCGCAAGCAGTAGAAATGATAAGGGGTTAGCAGTGAAAAGTCGGAGCTCTTTCGTGACCTTCCGGGTAGAGAGACGACTTGTGCCAGCTGAAAGGTATACCAATCCGAGTGCCTGAATGGTCTTTCCGAGTCCACAAGTTGACTGTTTAATTGAACCCTGGGTGCTCTTGAATAGGGAGACTCGGAAAATTTGCTTGGTCCGAGAGGAAATTATCTCGACTCCAAACGAAGCCATCTCGAGGACCTTTGATTGAAACCAAAAGATGGCATGCTCCCAATGCAACGTGCGTTGGCACGTTTTAACGTCAATTGAGGTTTGAATGTGCTTGATATAGGGTTAACTGGCTGTCTGTCACGTTCGACGTAGTTAGTTGCAGTTAGTTACCACTGCTTTTAACGGCTTCTCATAATCAAACAAGGAGAAATGGACTCGAACTTACTTGCTTCCTCCCCCAGTGTTTCTCTGCCCTCCTGGCCTGCACCCAGACTTCTAAGGTGCCTTCAACCCGGCCAACCCAACGGGTCCCAAGGGCGAACAACGGGCTTTCTCGGTCATCAGGATTCTTAGGCAATGGTGCTGTGTGGCTTAAAGACTCAAGGTACTTTCTTCTCTTGTTCTCATGGAATTGGACATGATATCAAGTTCAAGGATTAAGCTGTAGGTGAGTTTGCTTCTTAAATAGATCCATGGCATAACATCATGGTATAGAAGGGAGCTGGCAAACATCCTCGCTGGGAAAGACCGTTCTCAACGACGCATAATATTTGCTTATGCCATTTAAACGCGTTGATTCTGTCAACTGAGATGCTTCTTCAACGATGAACATTTCTGGTTTGAAGCTCCGGAGTGACTATTGACTTGCTGTCGAAGCAGTGCAGAAGAAAGTATTCTCAGGTGTTAATATCGATATGCCTGAAGGCTGTCGAGTCCCCCGGTTTGGCGTAATTATTTGGTGTAATAAGGGTACGAGATAAGTTCCCGTGCATGGCCTGGTTTCAGAACGACATCCAGCCACGGCTCGCTCCCGGTGTATCCTGATATGGCCTTCGTCAACGAAAATCCGATGGAATGCAGCTGAGAATCGACCTTCCATGTATGTCGATGATATAACGACTCTCTCTGTGGCCGATTAGGGGGCCTTCCCTTTTTGGACCAGTGGTTTGGCCCAGTATAGCTTGTAATTCCAGGCAGGATAATATCTTTATTCCATTAACCTCTCCATTCATCTCCTCCCTTTCCGAGGCTACCCCAGATCCGTGATGTCGCCTCGAACTAGACGGCCGAGCGTGCTCCACGCCGCGGGGCCATGATCTGACGGTGCAGATCATGCAATTCCTCGCGGCACGAGCGGTGGAGCTCGCCGGTCCTGGTCTCGAAAGCCCAGATTTCCAACCTCAAGAGGCGGAGCCGGCGAAGCTCAGGGGAGTCGGGCTCCTAATGCACCGTCAGTTCAATCCTATTTGATAAAAAACCTCAAATTCCTGGGAGTCACTTACCCTTTCGCACCCGCGGTGCACCAGGTGGCATTGCGCACACCGACGGCCTGGGCCAGGCTCACATTGGAGCTCTGGCTCGCGAAGACAGGGCAGGCATCGGCGGCAAGGGACATCACTATTAAACAACGCACCACGGGTTAGCTAAGCCTATCCTATTATCATAGCCGGCAGAGCCAGAGCCTTTCTCGATATCTTCGTCCTGTGCTTTCTCATTATTGCGGCTCGGGTTGGAGAACCAGTTATCAAACTGCTGAGCCAAATAGGCTAGCCAGCAAATTAGAAGCAGTAAGGGCAGTTATTTGAAAGCGCTATAGTAGCTGACAGTGTAGACTTTTATACCGGGAGTTTATTGCGTTTGGTGCCACGTTATCCATGAGATACCATAGTATCAAGAATAACTTCTGGGTTCCCTGTAACTCGCTTTCTCTCAGAGACCATTCTGAGCTCCCTTATTTGCGGAATCTTGCAAGTGGCTGTTCACCCACCGTATGGCTAGTGAAATCCGGGGTATAGCAGATTGAGAACGTATGTCATATCTTTAAACAGGAGGATAAGTACCTGACCACCAAGGCTTTAGCAGGATTGGCATTGTCTCGCCTTCTAATGATGGAACTTGTCCTAAGGCTGCGTCTGTAGACACCTAGGACCATAGAGCAGTTCTGGCCAAGTGCATCGTATAGTGTGGGATGATTAAATGTAGCAATCTTGGAAGGGCCTGCAGGCTTGTCAGGTAAAGACATATATAGATAGGTATTGGCTTTGCAATCAGCTGTAACTTACAACCCAGAGGTCTAGGTGCATTAGATGCACATCAATTAGCAAGTAATACTTCCTCAATTGATCTAATTATTTGCCCTATCTCGAAATGTTTAGTCAACGCAGCGAAACTGGGAGGAAAGGGAGAAACCTACAAGATCCCAGACATAGGGTCCCCAGACCGGATGCAGCTGAACAAGCCTGCAGACACTCATATTCTTTAATTCTGCCAGGGCTAAGGTGCACTGTAGACAAGGCGAAATGGGGTTGTTGAGTGGGAAGATTTTTAACACTCGTAGTTTGTCTGACGTCCGGTACTCTAGTCCATCCCTATCCCGGTGATTCCTGAAGGAGCAGCGAGCTCTATTTGATGGCAGTTGAAGAAAAGTGACGTCGATTGATCAGTAGTGTAAGTGGCCACCACCCCAAGTGCAGCCATTGCCAGACAACGGTGTATTATGCATTGGAGTAGGCATATCATCGTATTGCCTAGTTAATCCCGTCTAGTAAGCCACCTCGGCTGCCATTCATTGTTCGTTCTCCTCCACAGAATATCCGTTCCCCCTTTCCGAGGCCCTCTGTAAAGGAAACCGGCCAGTATAACTATCATTTCTGCGCTCTTGTCGGAGTGTCAAACCAAGTCGTACCTTGCCCTGTAGTACATATCGAGACTAAAGTGAGAGCATAAATTGATTTTTTTTCAAGTAGATTCTGAAAACTATTAAAGAATTGGTTATTAGTAACTTTAGTTAAATCCATTAGACAGCTGCTTTAGAAACTTACCACCATCCAATGGCATTACTGTCGTTATTCTCAGAATCCTTATCCATAGTAATTGCATACTCGTCCACATCAATAAACTGGGCCACTTCATCCGGAACCTTGATATCGAGGTCTTTCATTGGCAAGCTCTCAGCCTCATGTGTCGTATCACTCGAGGCATTATCGCAGCCGGTCAATAACGAATCTAGTATAGCTAAAAGAGCTAAACTAATCGATGAATGCTATTCTTCCAACACTGAAGAACGTCTTCTCAGCAAGCGGAGAATATATCAGAGACAAAATTTCGTCGTTTAGTAAGAAAGACATTCAACAAGGCGGGCTTCAACCCTTGGAGCTTTTGGATCCCACCTTGTTGTCGCATCTTTTGACGGAGCAAGCGACCTTTGTCTAGCGATTCAGTTAGGCATCCTATACAGGAGGGATCCTTCGAGGGGGCTCGATTACAGAGTCTCTTCCTACTTCTGTACTGGAGGATAGCGAGAGCTTGACTCGTCCCCGCCACACATTGATATACCCAAGTAACCTCATCGAAAGCGTGAAGATTCAGCGGGTGTTGATGGGATGACGATGGGAATATAGTCAAACTTGAATGGTGGGCCATGTTGATTTATGGATCAACTTTAGGAACATGGAATGGGGGTCCGGTCGGTGTTGAACCCGCTGACATCTTCGTCGGTCCACATCCCAGCAGTGATTTTATGGACATGATCATTGGTGGCACATCCTCTCTCGCCGACACGTTCCCACCTTGAATTCGAGTAGTTCAAGACAGCTTGGATGAGTGGTGTATATAGACGTTTATATCTGGGAAGTACTTGCGGACTTCCGTAGTCCATACCCCCAAGACTGTGGAACTGATGACAACAAGCGTTGGTTTAAGGGTATCTCGGATTCGATTGGTAACTTAAGCCAAGGCCCTGGACTGTCTTTCCTAGGCCACAGCCGTCGGGTCACCCAGAGCGTCGGGGGCAATCAGGGTCTTCTTTTTGTCGGCATCTCGTCAGTTGCATGGCTGCTGGACGATGTCCTTTCTGTGAGTCACTCAACTTACCCGCTGGTCGTCCACCCCCTTTGTACCGGGAGAATGGACATATCTCCGCTATCAGAGGGGTGTATATGGGGTAGCCTTCGCTCTAGGTAATATGAGCCAGAGGCATAGTTATGGTATAGATATAGAAAGGAAGATAGAAAAGAAGATGAAGATGAAGAGGGAAGAGAAGAGGAGGAGGGAGAATATATAGACTTGGGAGACCTTGAGTGAAGGGACACCACAGTGACTGGGATTCAACTGTCTCACTGGACCAACTAGGTACATGCATGATTCACTTTGGTTTTCAAACGCCCAAAGCAAACGGCCACGGGAACATGCATATATGTATGGTATGTACCCTGCAAGTAACCCGAGAGAGACCGGTTAGACCAGACCGCCTGCGAGGTCCCGTAGGTGCATCTATACGTGTACAAAGACCCTCAAAGATCCATCAGCCAGTCAACGCCCAGCCATGCTGCTGTCCATGCTTCTGCTGGTTCTGCTGTCGTTTGTTTGCAGCACACCATGTTGCTATTGCTGCTGTTGCTATCCATGTTGTTGACTGGTGGTACTTGTGCTGCCGTTATTCGTTTGCAGCACGCCATGTTGATGGCGCTGTTGCTGCTATCCAGTTGGTCGGTATATTTTCTTTTCCATGCAAGCAACCAAGTCAGACAGTTTATAGCAACCTTCGTGCCGTTTGGATCAGCAAGTTTCTAGCCCCAAGGTTGGCTCTTACTCGTAATGTAGCTAATACCTTAACCGGATTATACCTTTTTAGTTCGGGTATTTTCTTCAAACAGTCGGATTATCTGTTCGACTATCCTTGAGCTTGCTTTTAACTTTGTGTCTCTTCTTCCTCCTACAACCTAGCTTAGCAAGTATTAATATATAACAAGTCACATTCACTTACATTCTCAATTTCTCCTGTAATATTATGCAGTTTCAATGCTATGAAGAAACTGCTTGATTGATAGTAGTAGAAGTAGTGATTGTAGTAGCAGAGAAAAGATTCAGCAGTCAGCCGTGTGTATGAAGCGTCTTCTCTCAAGACCCGGCTGGAGTCTTCAATGGGCCTGTAAACAACGTTAGAAGCAGGTCATTGGTAGAGGAAGAGCAAGACGGGTGTACTGACTCTGGTCCTTTTTCCTGAGCAAGGAAGCCCAGAATACATCCCAAGGTTTTTCTGAGGTTGTCAAGGCCAAGGAGACGATATAAGGATGGCTGGAATAACTAGTTAGTTACTTTGTCCGCCAGAATGGATGTTATCATAGTAAACAGTCAACAGTAAACAGTAAACATTGAAGAGAAGAAGAAGAGAAGCAGGGAAGAAGAGAGAAAGTCCAGCTGGAGTGAAGAAGCCAGCGAGAAGCCAGCAGCAAGAGCGAAGTCAGGCAGAAGCAGTAGAAGTAGAAGTACGGAGAGCAGGCAGAGAGGACTCCCTGCTGTCTCTTCGACTGTCTATGGGTATGGAAGTTATCCTCGTTATCTGTCTGGCTACCTGGCTATCTGGGTATCAGGGTATCATGGTATACACTGTCATCATCTATCATCATCATCTTCTTCTTCTTCTCTTCTTATATCACGGTGATGTCGACGTCTGTCTGTTCAGATGACTAAGCAGAATAACACTCAGCTCTTCTCGCCGACTTCATCTCCATCTTCGACTTCATCTTCAACCTCAACCTCAACTCATCGCGACGTCAACTCAACGTCAGCGCATCTTCGACCTTCTCTCGCCTTCTTTGCTTCGCTGCGGTGGCTCTGCATGGCTCGCCTGCAGGAGGATCCCTGCTAGTCTCAACTCCAACGTCCCTAGCTTGTCTAGTCCCCTCTAGTCAACCAACGGGCACGGGAAAAAAAATAGTCCACCGCTTCTCGTCCTCCCGTCGAACATTCTGCTGGAAATCCATCCCGATGCTGGACTGCAGACACTCGCTGCCTGCTGTGTTCCACGCTTCTGCCGCATACGAGCGATCAGATTGACTCAGGTACGTCTGCTCCCCGTGCGTCCTGGCCCTGTATTCAGCGTTGTTTTGGTGCTGCTTGAGTTGGGGTGGTTAGTTTTTTTTCGCCATCTGGTTCGCCCCGCCGGGGATAGGCCCAGCGTGATGCCAGCAAGCCCAAAGACCGAGAGCAGGCAGGCAGACAGACAGTCGAGTCACCGAAGGACAACAAGGTCCAGTCAATAATGGGCAGTGACTGGAGAGCTCGGCCCTGCAGCTGGCATATATGTACCTGGTTGATGCCTGTGCTACTCTGCTGCCTGTCTTGACACCCACCTGCTTTTTCTTCTTTACTTTGCGGCCTTTTTACCTTTCTGTTTTTTACCACTTACCACTGCAGTGTGTCTACACAGAAGTGTGTCTACGGTAGAGACTGACTCTCTAGTGTATAGATGGCACCACATCATCGCCGCAGGATCGGTGCGAGCCGAAGGACGGTCGATGACGAGGGCGAGGAAGACGGGTTCCCAGGTACAGTGGACGACGACTCGCTCAGCGAAGGCACGGTCAGCTCCCAGTCCCACGACGAGGACGACGTATGCAGCGAGATCACGGAGACAGAGGGCGGTGAGAGGTCTCTTCTAGACGGCGGAAGGTTGCCTCTCAGGTCCAAGAAGTCGTCCTCGACCTCGACAACGACGCCTCGAGGGCAAGGTGGTGGTGGTGGTGGAACAGGAGGAGGAGGAAGGAGAGGAGAAGGCAGTGGTGATGGTGATGGTGGCGAAAGGAACAGCCTGTTCAATGCGCGGACTTCGGAGACGGATAACATGGCGAACGGAAGCACAGAGACGGCATCGAAGCCGGTGCAGGAGATTGGGGATCTAATGACATTCGACGACGAGGAGGAGGAGGAGACAGCTGCTACGACTACTGCTTCTCGGCCTAGTAGTGGTGGTCAGAGGGAGCCCTTGGCCGAGAGGAAACGAAGAGAGCAGGACGAGTACTTCCAGAAGAGGAACGACCCTTCGTTTGTGCCTACGCGAGGCGGTTTCTTCCTCCACGACAACCGGTCTGGCAACGGGAATGGCAGTGGACGGCCCAAGCAGATAAAGAGCAAGCCTCACGGCCTTATCGTCGACAGCAACGTTTCACGGTGAGTTTTGTGCTTTGTATTTTTTTTCTTTGCGTTTGATGATGACGTACTGACTGGCAAACATGTAGAAAACCCCAGCCAGACATTACACATGCTCCCTGGCGTCATGATCTACATGATATTGTCAACCAACCGAGTCGACCGCCTCAGGGTACCACAGCTGCTACCACCGCTACTACTACCACTGCCGGTAGCACTACTACAAACAACAACAACAACAATGTCAATACCAGCTACCAGCCTAAACCTGTACCTACGGCTCCTCGCACCTCTCCACAAAACCGATCCTTCTCTACCACTATACTCATCGGCAATGTCCCCGTTATCGTCTTTCTTCCTGGCATGGAAGCCCCGATACCCTTCTCCGCCGTCCCCAAAAGACAGCATACCCGCCTCCCGCAGCACCGCCCTCCGCTGCGTCGTGACAAGCCCGTCCGCATCTCCCTCCCGGGCCAGGCTCCTCGGTACATATTCCCTTCGACGGAACGGTCATTTATCTTTATTCCCCGGGCTCTCCGGCCCAACCAACAAGCTTCGTACCGCGGCCGAGGTCGGGGCGGAGGAAGTGGCGGCGGCGGATTTTACTCGAGCCGACGGGCCAGTGTCTACTCCGGCAGTGCCTACAGCCATGCACCAACTCATACTCCCAGCGTCAGCCTGAGCATGAGCATGTCTCGGCGCTCGTCAATGGGGCGGGACATGAGCGTCAATGGCGCCACTCCGCCGCTGGGATCGACCATGACCATGGCCCGCCCTGTTGTTCCCCCAGACTCGAGGCCGGTAGTCCGCCTTCCTCCCCAGGTCACGCCGGTTCAGCAGCCGGCACAATTGCAACAACAGCAGCAGCAGCAACAGCAACAGCAACAGCCGCCGCCACCACCACCGACCTCTGTGCCTCCTTCGACCACGGGTCCGTACTTTGCGCCGCAGAACCCGACCTACCGGGAGAACCGGCCGCACCCGGCCATTCCAATGCACCAGCCCCGTCCACAGAAGACAGTCTCGGTGGCGGATATCGAGTCTCCCGCTGCATCGGCCGCTGCTTATCAGTTTAGTCAGCAGCAGCAGCAACAACAACAGCAGCAGCCAGGGGACCAACCATTCCACCACCAGGTCCCTCAGCAGCCGTCTCAGCCAATGTCTATGAACGGTTATGCGCCGACACCGGAGATGAACATGCCAATGGCGATGGCCGTCCCCATGGCCGTCCCCATGCCCATGCCAATGCCGATGCCGATGTATCAGCACCAGAGACACCTGTCCCATCCTCCGCCGACCTCAGCCACTCCGCTGTCCCAGATCCCCGAGCGAGCCATCCATGCGGCTCCCTTCCAGCCAGTGACGTACCAGCAGCCGGGACCGGGACAGCAGCCAGCTTACTACGGCCAGCCCTACCACCACCATCACCAGCATCAACCACAACAACAACACCCTCCTCACCACACTCACCCGCACCACAACCAGTATGCTGCTGCTGCTGTCCCTCCGGCCACCGGAACAGAGTACCCTTATACTCCTGGCGGCGCTGGCCCTGGCACCGGCCCGGGCACCGTAGCCCACGAGTCCAACGGGACGGTGTACTACTACGATGCCTCTCAGGTCTCTGCTCCGGGCTCCAGCTCGGGCACGACCAGTGCAGCAGCCGTCCCACCGGCCGGCGGTGTCCTCGGCATGGGCGGCATGATGACTCCCCCCGGCGCGACGACCTACTACTATCCCCACCCTCCGCACGTCCAAAACGGCCCCGTCTACTACCAGTGATGCGTCTCCCACCTTATACTTTTTTATCTTCTTGGCTTAATGGCGTTATTGTTTACTCTGTTCGTCCTGTTTGCCTTGTTTGCCTTGTTTGCTATCTCTCTTGCCTCTTACGTAGATCTTTCTCTGTCCTTTGCTCCTTCCTTCTCCTGCATCTTAGCGTTCTTTCCTTTCTCTAGCTTGCTCTTTCCCTCTTTTGGCTCGGTCTGTCTTTATTAGTCATCATCTCATCCCTGGTTTGTTTCTTTTTTATCTTTTTTATCTTTTTTCTCTCTTTTCTCTTTCTCTTTCTCTTTCTCTTCTTATCTTTTCTCTCTATTTCTCTCTCTCTCTCTCTCTCTCTCGGAATGCTCAGCATGCAGGCGAATGGCTCTGGTCTCGTTCTCGTCTTTGCGTCTTCGCGTCTTCTCGATACCTTATTTTAACTCGCACCGGCTACTGGCACTAGCTGGTGGTCTTTATCTCTTTCTGCACGCACTCACATATGCTCCCTCTTTTTCTCTGATATCCACCGTATCCTGTCGTCGTCTGTCGTGTCTGTCGTGCCTCTCGTGTCTCTCGTCCTTTGAGCGTGTATCCTTACTCTACCTCTTCTTGCACTGTATTAGTCTTATCTATGGCTGTATGTCTACATAACGCTATGTTGTCTGCCACAACCATGCTTGCTCTACGGAGTCGTCTCCAACCTTGCTATCATGCTCTACGGAGTACACAAAGTATGCACAGTACAACCAACCTTTTATATAGCACGGCCACCGCCGCCGCCGCCGCCGCCGCCGCCAAATCTCCTTAAACCAACGCCCTTATGGCCATCAGCCGAGCCCATCGCCAGTCTTCTGTCTTAACTTCCTCTGACATGATGCAAACTGCCGTCATCCCGTCAGCGTCATCCCGTCACCTCTCGCCTTTCTTATAGTCTTACTAGGCTTGCTTTTGCTTTCTCCGCAATTCGGGTGGCTAGCGGCAGCGACTAGAACGTCGCGATGGAGTGTCGTATGACGTAAGGACAGGCCTCTGCGCCCGCTGATTGGCTGGATCCACCACCCTGCAGCCTCACCCCCAGAAAAGCAGCTCGACCTGCCTTCTTCCTTTTCCTCCTCCTCCTCCTCTTCTTCTCTTCTTCTTCTTTTTCTTCTTCTTCTTCTCCTCCAGTGCCAGTCACTCTCACCAGTCCATCATTTGTCATTTATCACTTATCACCAGCACCAGCACCACCAGCAGTCAGTCACCTGTCGACGTCGACTTAGGGTTTTCCGCGGTCGACGCAGGGCCTCGCGTTCCTTTGGTTATATAGACTGGCTCACCGCCGGTTCCGCGGTTGCTGCCTGTTCCTTCAACGGTGGTGACGCTATCGACTCTCTTCTTGCAACGTCTCCCCCTCCCTCCCAAACCACTACATTCGCTACCACCAAGCTACACTCTAGCACATCGACATACGCAAAGACAACGCCTGCTCTAGGCTGCGTCGTTCAGCCCGTCGCCGACAACACCCATCGAATACGCCCTTGGTGGCTATCGAAAACGCCCCCCTCGAGCAGCAGCTATGCCTCCAGCTCACAGCGGACCGGTTAAGCCGGACACCCTCATAACCGTCAAGGCTCACTTTGATGGAGAGAACAGACGCTTCAAAGTGCCCTTGAGGGACATGGGGGCCACTACTTTTCCCCTGAGAGTGAGTTATTAGGATCTTCTCTTCATAGATTGCTGTCCCTTTTCCTCTCTTTTCCTCCCTTTTCCTCGCTTTCTCGCTGTCGTCCTCGTCCTTCTCGTCGTCGTCAACCTTGCTGCCTGGACTGGCTCACCGCCACCTCCCGAAACGGAAGTTTAGTCAGCCGGTTATGCAGCTTCGGCATTTCGTGGAACCTCACGACATCGACTTCCGATTTGGCCTCGGCGTCTGCTTCAAGTCATATATATATCTGGATAGCACCACGGCTATCACTCCCTGACCCAACTCGACTTCACTATCAACTCGACTTTTCACTCAACTCAACTAGTTTATTCACAACTTCTCTCTGCCTTTGGACTACCATAACTCTTGACTGGCTTTGAAATCACCTACTTCATCCATCCCACCCACCGAAATAGTGACGAGTACCACTCTTCGGCTTGACTTCGGTTTTTTACTTGTATATATCTTGCAAGACAGGCCCGATGTCGCTGCTACTCCTCTTATCGTCATCCTACTACCAACACCAACAATACTGGCTAGCACTACTATTATCACTCTCCGACCTGAACAACCTAGCTAACCCCCCTTCTAGGTCCGCCAGTTCCTCAACATCCCCTCTCATACTGAGATTATCATGCGAAGGTACTCAGACAGCGCTGGAGAATATCTCACTCTCGACAGCGAACAGCCGGCTGGTTACAAACAGCTTTACAGAGCCGCCAAGGCCAAGCTGAAGCTGCGTATCCAGGTCGATCGTGTCTATACCGATGCTCATGATGAACCAGAAGAGGAGAACCCAACGGAGCCTGCTGATGATAATATTATCAACGATCATGGCATGGAGACCAAGCCTGAGGAGTTGTCTGAGCAGCCACAATCTGGATTCGAGTTCGCGATCGAGAATGGACCTCTCCCCGAGCCCAGCCAGACGCTGCCAGAAAAGGTCAGCAGCCCTCGTTCTAGCTACCTTGACACGGTTCTCGAACACCGTCCTGCAGAATCTCCTTCGGCCACCAGGATGTTGGGCAGCAGATCTGTTTGTCGTCTTCCTCCAATCCTGCCTGCAAATACCTCTACGGCTACATACAGCTGCTCCATCATGATTGACTGCAACCTGTGCAAGGCCTCCATCCCCAACGAGCACTATCACTGCTCCGTCTGCGAGGGTGGTGACTATGATCTATGCCAGGAGTGTATTGATGCTGGAAACCTCTGTCCTGCCGGTACTCACTGGCTCATCAAACGATCTCTCAATGATGGGCAGCTTGTGTCCAGCACCACTGAGATTGTTGGACCAAAGTTCTTCAAGCCAGTGGAGGAGGAGGAGGGAGAGAAGGAGGAATCTAAGGAGGAATCCAAGCCGGAACCAGAAGCAACCTCTAAAGTCGAGTCACAGCCAAAATCACAGGAGCCAGAGGTGCCCGAGATTATCAGAGATGCCGACTACCGACCAAGAGAGCCTGTCATCCATAGAGCTCTCTGTGACATGTGTGACTGCGTACGTATACTACTCAATTACGTCATTGCCTCTCCCTTTTCCCACTTTCTATTGTGCATTATTATTCACATTTTTTTTTTTACTAGCAAATCATCAACGCGAGATACAAGTGCATTGACTGTCCCAACTGGGACGTCTGCGCTAGCTGTGTTGGTGGCGCCAAGTACTCGCATCCAGGACACAGGTTTGTACCTTTGTTTTTGCCCCTTCCCCCTCGGGCCTCACAGCATGTGGTGCACCCAGGTGTGTACTGTGATGGCCGCCTCTGCCATGACAAATTCAATGCCCAATACATCACCGGTGTCCGCTACAAGTGTGTTGTCTGCGACGACACCGACTTCTGTGAGACCTGTGAAGCCGATCCAAATGGCACTCACAACAGCACCCATCCATTGTTAAAGTTTAAGACTCCAGTTAAGCACGTCACTGTCTCTGCTTATGGAGAGGACGAGAAGGGTCAGGTATTCGAGAGGCTGGGCGACAAGGATGCCCCTGAGCCTGCCTTCAGATCCACCGCCACTGAGACTACGGCCCCCTTCATCACCAATGCTGCCACACAGGTGCATCCCCCGATGTCGCTTGATGCCTTCTATGAAAATGAGAAGGAGATCTCTTACGAGACGCAGGAGGTTGTCGAGGAGGAGGAAACCCCAGTCGTGCAGCAGGGGTCGGTGACTTCAGAGTATGAATCTGTTGCCTCGTCTCTGCCTCATCCTCATCCAGATGATTCAAATTCGGTCACTTCCGGTCTGCACCCTGAAGGCCTTCACACCCGTTTCCTGGGTGAAACCATTCCAGATGGCACGCACTTTGCTCCAAATGTCCGCTTCACCAAGACATGGACAATGCAGAACATTGGCCCCAATGCTTGGCCTGCCGGTTCTGCTGTCCGCTACCAGGGTGGCGATCCCATGTTCAATATTGATACCTCCCACGCCATTAGCCTGGCCAGCTTGGTTAGCGCCATGGAGAGCATGCCTCTGAGAGAGCCAGTCTATCCTGGCCAAAAAATGGATTTCACCATAGAGATGAAGTCCCCTGCTCGGATCGGAACAGCAATTTCCTACTGGCGTCTGAGGACCGAGGAAGGAACTCATTTCGGCCATCAGCTATCCTGTCACCTTGAAATCGATGAGCCAGAAACTGAATCTCAGGAGAAGAAGTCAGAGATGGTCTTCCCCACTCTGGAGAAAGAATCTCCTGTAACCAGCATGCATGAGGATGAATGCCAGGCCAAGCCTAGTGAGGTCGCTGTTACAGACAATGTCTCTGACTCTGCTTCTACACTGAATGAGGATACTGATGCAGTCGAGGTTACCGACCTGGCTGCGGAAGTCAACAGCCTGAACCTCGAAAGCGAGTGTCCGGATGACGAGAGTTTCCTCACAGACGAAGAGTACGATATCCTCGACGCCAGTGATGAGGAGTATGCCGAGATTGCCAAGGCTTCGCAGAAGAAGTAAGTCGACATGTCGATGTCGAGGGCATAGTGTTCCCGAGGACGGGAAACCATGTGGAGGCGTGTGCGTTGAACCACGCTAGCGGGGAAAGGAAGCTGGAAATTGCATTACTCTCTGTTCCCTTTGTACTTTCGCCTTTTCGGGCCACCCGGCATTAACACACGAGGCCGTTTTGACCGTCTCTCGTCAGCCGTCAACATCTCTTTTCGATATGTTCTATGTATTCATTCGATCGGTGTTTCTTTATTTCCTTTCTCTCTTGGACTATGCCGGATTCAGCCTATTTCTTTTTCTCTCATTTATGTGCTGTCTCTTGTCGAACTATTTAGGGGAAATATCATATTATCCAGCATCGCGGAGAACCGGACGCAACCATAGCTGGCTCGGTAGTTGGTAGTTTTACGCACCTACCCTATGATTTGATGCAAGATACAAGCCGTGGCAATACCAACTCCCCCCACACATCTCCAATCTTCTCAACTGGACCAAATCTCTCTCCTACAACACCAAATTTTAAACCAAATAATAACAAAAAAAAAGGAGAAAAAACCACAAAGCCAACATTGTCTCTTCACTTTCCTGTTGTGTTTTCTGTTACGCTTTGTATTTATGCTAACATCTAATGACCGCCTACTTCGCAACCAGTTTTCTCTCATTCTTCGACTCAATTTGCTTGGGATAGACTATAGAGGTTTGCTTGACGTTGATATTAAGTAAGCATGGCGCACGGAACGGGAAAAAGCTTGGCATATAGACCCACTTGTTGCATTTTGACTTTCTGCCTTTCGTTTTTATCTTTTGGACATAATTTTTCTTCCGGCATTTTCAATCTTTTGCAATAGCAAAGCAATTTTTCCTTTCTTTTAAGAACGTCTCATCTCCAGCTTGAACCTTGGCGGTCATTCACTCCTTTCATCTTCCTTTTTTTATTCGTATTCTGTGCTATGCGTACAATATTACAATGATATCGACACTCCCTCGAAGCGGCAATATGGCTGCTGCCTCCTTCAAGCTCAGACACACTTCTCCACGAACATCCATAATCGGCCTCCAATGCCTCTACCCATCAAGCAGGACCTTCAGCTCCAGCACCGCTCGCTTCAACCTCCCACCGCCGTATAACTCCAAACCAACATCCTCCTCCTCATCCGCCGCCGCCACCACATCCGCCTCAGAAACATCCATATCCTTCCCCGTCAACGCACCCGCGAGCACCCGGCCCGCGTTCCTCGACGTACCTTCAAAAGACAACCCGCAGACTTCAGGCACATTCTCGTATTACTTTGCTCTGGGCAAGGCGTACCTACGCTTTTACAAGACGGGTCTCAAAAACGTTTACGGCAATTACAAGGCTTCCATCCCGCTGCGGAAACAACTTGGTTTACCAGTGTACATACCGCGCTCGCCATGGACAGATATATCCACCTCTTCCGCCAGTGGTAAAGCGGACGTCTCGTCACTTACAAGAAGCGATTTCCAGCTCGTTCGACGCAGCGCATATGATCTCCGCAGAATGATTCCGTTCGGGTTCATCTTGCTTATATGCGGCGAATTTACGCCCTTGGTTGTACTTGCGATAGGCAATATGGTAACGCCAATGACGTGTCGGATGCCTAAACACTTGATTAAGGAGCGCAGTAAGAGAGTTGAATACAAGATTGCTGCGCTGCAGGGTCTATCGGCCAGTCAGCGGGAGGTGGTTGCCCCATCCTCACTGCGTGGAGTCAAGGATGTACATGCTCTAAGTGCCGAAGAAGTCCTGCAATCAAGCGTTGTGTTCGGGTTGAGCAAACGACATTCTTTGTCTGTCCCGGAATTCCTGCAGACAATGATTGTCAACTCTCTGTATAGACCTCGACTGCAGCGGTGGATGGAGTACCTTGCTGCAGACGATAAGTTGATTATGAGTGCTGGTGGGATAGAGAATATGGTTGCCGAAGAGGTGCGGTTGGCCGTTGATGAGAGGGGTGGTGTGGATGTTGGTATGGGTCTTAAGGAAGGCGTGAGAGAGGCTGCTGAGCGGAAATGGCTGGCTAGGTGGCTTGGGCAAAATGATTAGACATTTCAAGGCTGGGGGGATGTCTGGTTTTCTCGGAAATATCTTCTAATTAATTATTTATCCCTCTGGATTCGAGGGCTGTATAATAATACATACGGATTTGGAATGGAATAGACCAGGCTTTTTGGGATATGCCCTGACTTTTCGAATGATTTGAGATTTCTTTCCACTGTTATATATATATGAGTGAGATGAGATATCGCATCCGCTATCATGAACATTCAAACAGGGCTTTATCCCTTAATACCTCTAGGTGGTCATAATTCGACCCTAGGGCATATCTCAATAGGCTAGGTCTCTCCGACTCTGCAGCCTCAACATCGGGACCGGCCTTGGCATCAGATACCAGCTCTTTACCCGCCTGAGCCTCTCCATCCCATGCTTCTGCTTTCTCCAGTATATCATCGTAGACCTTGGCAAAAACACCCTTCACCTTCGGCATGTCAAAGCTCGACATGCCCAAATCGTTCATGAAATCAGCCGGGTCCTGTAAACATAACATCTTGTCACCTCTGGCGATTGACCTTTTGGCAATGCTCTTCTGTCCCCTAACATGTGGCAGCGGCTCTGTACCATGAGCCCGAGCATGGGCTCTCTTCCTGAAAAGAGCCGGTGGTTCCACAGATATTCCATAACGAAGGAGATCGAGATCCTTATAAAAGCGAAGAACATGCAAGAATTGCTTTGCGAGGTCTGAACGGCCGAATTTGCCTTCTCCCAACTTCAGCGCTGCTACAATCATCATTGTAAGCCCGTATGCGTCGATGGTCCGGTTTTCCATGCCAAACATTCCTCTTGTCTCCAGAACCATTCGTAGAGCAAGGTATAATGATCGTAAAGTAGGGAACTCGGCCTTATAGCCCAGGACATATTCCATGCTTGAATGGGGTTTGAGACCACAGTATATCCGTGAATTTCGGCCCGTAGCTGAATGAACAGCAGAGACAAAAGGGACATGTTCCTTCTTAACAGTGACACTAGAGAATGTTCCGGTTGCACGTAGGAGACGTGCAGATTGGACCAGAATGCCCATCTGTATTGCAGTGATTTTGGGACGAGTCACGCTCGGTCCACGTACGCTGGTGGGCAGCCCATCGGGGTCTTCCATGGGAAGCATAAGGTCAACGTTCGAATTTCGCGTTTCCATGCCTGTGTACCGCGATCCGACGAGAATCGGCCTCCGGTTGGAATCACCGCCAATAGGTTTTAACATCTCCTCTATCTCTCCTATAACCTTCCTCACCGCTTCCTTCTCTTGACGTATTTCAGACATGTACAGCTCAAACGCTTGAAGTTCATCACTCAGCCGCGTATATCCATCCTTCGACTCCTGCCTATTCATGTACTCCAACCAATTGCACTGTACAGGACTTTGATGTTCTGTCCTCGGTGGAAGCGATTTCAGGTCCGTGGGATACAGCTTCTTCATATGGCGCTCATTTAGCCTTTCCAGCTCCCTCGTCAACTTCCGTAGCTTCATTAACTCCCGTTGCGTGCTGATGAGATGTTCCGGCTCCAAAGGCCCACGGCGCCTGACTTTATTGACTTTATCGCCGCCATGGCTTTCAGGCAGCAGGTTCGGGGGGCTTCGCACTTTAATCCTGCGTACGACCGTCCGATTAGCAAATCTATGCTCTTCCAAGGTCTCCGTAAGACTATCTGGGTTTATCTTCGGCGTGGGAGCGTGTCTCCCAAGAGTCGGCGAGGCATGGAAGCGTCTGCTATTGCTAAAGACTGGACGAGCTGTGTGGAACAGACTGCTGTCAGCGAGGAGCGGCGCACGAACCGAGGCCATGCACGAGCAAACCGACATCTGGCCCTCCCCTGCTGGCGTCTCGTCCTCGTCGTCATCCGCGTTGCTTTTGCCGCCATCAAGACGACGTCGAATTTGAGGTTTTCAAAGGGCCTTATCGTCCCTTATCGGGGAACCCGCTTAGTCAGCAGCCAACTTTATCCAGACTTCCTTTTTTTCCTTTTCAACTTCTCGAACAATTTTTGCAAAATATTTTTATTTTATATTCCCCGTGAATTATTATATTATCTTATATATAGGAGGACTGCCTGTCGCGTGAGGCTCGCCGGCCTTTTGTATCGGCTACCTTCAACGCCCTGCTGCTCGTCTGTCGGGTTTAAGGAGCTGCATATCTAGGCTAACCACCCAGGAATGACGACAGCCTGCTAATCGGCCGCCAACAACCCTTGTCAAAGCCCACTTCCGCCCTGCTTGGCCACTCGCTTTGCCTGCAACCTCCCAACCCATGGACTTCCTATAACTGAGGATATTAAATACGTATAGCTCTCCACATCCTCTGGTCTCCTGCCGTGCTTGCCTGCCAATTGAGCGTTTGTCAAACGCGGGTAGCGGGTAGAACAGATCATCTCGGCCCGCCAACCAACCATTTCTCCCCTATTTCTACCCCCCCAGCCGCCCGACCAAGTTCACTGTCGCCTGACCTTCCGCGGAGAACATTGGCCAGTTTCTAAGAGTATACCACCCTTCGGCCTTTACGTTTCATGGCTTCAAATCTCCCCGGAGGCCCTCCGGCTGGGCCGAGTCTGATGTCACCCGGGGCTTTGGATGCCTCAGTGAATACTCCTATGCAGAGAACCCCTTCTCTCGTGGGAGATAACCCCAACGGCGCTCAGAATAACTTGTCCGCCGATGCTCAGATGAATACAGATTCTAGATCCGCATCAATATCCCTACCTTTGAGGGAGATATCGGCGTCAACCAAACCTGATCAGCATCCGGATCTAGGCCTATCAGGGCGGATAATAAGCGCAGCATTTTGTATTCCGTACAAGTTGCAGATCCACCATGACGGAGAATGGGTATAGTAAATCCGCCTTCTACACAGAAAGAGAAAACTGCTGACTCTTTGTATAGGAGCTTAAACACCGACCTGGGACTGCGGCGCTCTTTGACTCGTTCGCCAACCTAGCATCCCCTGACTCCCATTGGTCCCATACTCTTGTTGGCTGGACCGGCGAAATAGAACAACAATATCCGCCAGATACTTCATCATATCATCTTCAGAATAATAGAACCGCTTCGTCCACGAACCAGTCCTGGGCTCCGATCCCGGTTAACTCGTCCCAGAAGCCTCAGCCTCCACCTATAGATGGTATTCGTGTAACAGCCGATGATCGCCGTCGTCTCGAGAGTCAGGTCTCCTCGAGCAAGTTTGGAAATATTCTACCAGTCTGGCTGAGCGATGAACTCGATTCTCCGGACCAAGAGATGCAATTGAAGGACCAAGGCCGCTGGCGCCGTTACGCCGAACGAGAGATATATACCCTTTTTCACTATAAGCAACATGGCCCTACCGATGGCCGATCTGAAAGACAATGGTGGCAAGACTATCAACGGCTCAACAGCATGTTCGCGGATCGCATTTTAGAAACATATAAACCAGGAGACATCGTCTGGATCCATGATTATCATCTTTTCCTGCTTCCAAACATCCTCCGCCAGAAGGTTCCAAATATCTATATCGGATTTTTCCTCCACGTCCCTTTCCCGAGCAGCGAGTTCCTACGATGTCTTTCCAAGAGAAAGGATATCCTCACAGGTGCCCTTGGGGCTAACATGATTGGTTTCCAGTCCCATACTTACTCTCGTCACTTTACTTCCTGCTGCACCCGTATTCTGGCATTCAGCTCGACAAAAGGTGGAATTGATGCCTACGGTGCTCATGTTGCAGTGGACGTGTTCCCAATTGGAATTGATGTCCAAACAGTGCGAAAGCTAGCATATGGTGATCCAAATATTGAAAACACAATTTTCAACATTAAAACGATATACGCGGACAAGAAGATAATTGTTGGACGTGATCGGCTCGACTCCGTTCGAGGAGTGACGCAGAAGTTGATGGCCTTTGAGATGTTTCTGGAGCGGTATCCTCAATGGCGCGGCAAAGTGGTTCTCATACAAGTTACTAGCCCTACGAGCATGGAGGAACAGAAAGAAGAGCCGGATAACAAGCTCTCTAGCCAGATATCTCAGTTGGTTGCGACTATAAACGGTCGATTCGGCTCGATCAGTTTCTCACCCGTCCAATACTACCCCCAATACCTTCCTCGACATGAATACTTTGCCCTCCTTCGCGCTGCAGACGTTGGCTTGATCACCAGTGTGCGTGACGGCATGAATACCACTAGCCTTGAGTATGTGGTTTGCCAGCATAAAAACCAAGGGCCCCTGATCCTCTCTGAGTTTTCCGGTACTGCAGGCATTCTTGAAGATGCCATTCACATCAACCCCTGGGATCTCACCGGTGTGGCTAACGCTATCAACACCGCCCTCACAATGACACCTGAAGAGAAGGCAAAGAAACAGTCTGCCCTCTACGAGCATGTAACCACACATACCGTTGTCGAATGGTATGATGAGTACCTCAAACGACTTCTCGCCAATCTTTCGTCCTTCAACAAGTCCATAATCACCCCAGCACTGGACAAACACAAACTCATCTCTCAATACCGCTCCGCACGTCGCAGACTATTCATGTTTGACTATGATGGTACCCTCACCCCCATCGTCAAAGACCCGCAAGCCGCTATTCCCTCGGACCGTGTCTTACGAACTCTCAAGTCTCTCGCTGCTGATCCCAAGAACGCGGTATGGATCATTTCTGGTCGCGATCAAAACTTCTTGGAGGAGTGGATGGGTCATATTACCGAACTTGGTCTTAGTGCTGAACATGGCTGTTTCATCCGCAAACCACGGAGCGAAGAATGGACAAATCTGGCGGCAAAAGCAAACATGAGTTGGCAGAAGGACGTTCTAGAAATTTTCCAGTATTTCACCGAGCGAACCCCTGGTGCCTTTATCGAGCGGAAACGAGTGGCCTTGACATGGCATTATCGTCCTGTGGACCCAGAGTATGGCGCCCACCAGGCAAAGGAGTGTAGGGCGGAGCTAGAACGAACAGTTGCTACTAAGTGGCCTGTAGACATCATGGAGGGCAAAGCAAATCTGGAGGTCCGGCCAGCGTTTGTGAATAAGGGTGAAATCGCAAAGAGACTCATTGACGAGTATGCGGGTGTGCATGGCCATGAACCTGAGTTCGTACTCTGTCTTGGAGATGATTTTACTGACGAAGGTATGTCTCTATCTTCCTATCCTCTTGTTCTACATGTGCATATTAACTAACCAATATGTAGATATGTTCCGAGCTTTGAAATCATCCGATCTGCCTCCTGATCACGTTTTCTCCGTAACAGTTGGCGCTAGCTCTAAGCAGACCCAAGCCAGCTGGCATCTTCGTGAGCCTGCTGACGTGATTTCGACGGTGACACTGCTAAATAACAGTAAGTCGGCTGTCTTGGAGTGACATGTTCCCATCCTGACTTTGATAAACTACACATTGTTGGTACCTGTTGTGTCTTCACTATAGAGGTTGTTCTACCACTGCATACCTATGCATTTGCCCATCAGCTTGGGGTTATCGCTTTGTGGCAGCCGGCTTTAGTATCGAGGATATGCTCTTGTTTTCCTTGTCTTTCGCATGTTGTCTTTGTATTGCTTTTAATACTTACCTTGTGGTACTACCACTCGATTCATTTGCATTGAACCGTTTCCATACTGCAATGTTCCTCCGTATTTTCTTTTAGCTGTTGAGCTATTTTGGCTTATTCTCCTGGGGTGGAGCATTACGAGAAAGCGAATGATATACTGGATGTTGACCAAAAAAATCAAAGGTCTGGTGGCACAGCAAGACGCCAAAGTGCCGTTTCCTGGAATAGAGCATTTAGATGAGAATGTTGAGATCATAACATCAATAAACCAAACCAATATAGACGGCCGTCTATTTCTCTTAACATACCGCCCGTCTATAACTCTAACCCTAGAAATACCGTGTTGTCCAGCGGTGTCTCATAGTATTTATCAATGTCCTTGAACCCCATACTCCTATACAGCTCAATAGGAGCACGCATATGACGAAGAGTATCGAGTCTCATCTCGTCATATCCTCTGTCTCGCGCAACTTGCAGAAGAGCCAATACTAGCGCCTTGCCGACCCCTCTCCCTCTGGTAGAGGGTAGAACATACAACCGTTTCATTTCACAATAACGTTTCCCGTTGTTAGCTGAATTGTTCGCTGGAACGGACGTGACTGTTTTGTCGGACGAGAAGTTTTTGGGTACCAATGGTCTCAAACAGATGCAGCCCAACACTTCTTCAGAGGCATCGTCAATTGCAAGCAGTATCTCTCCATTAGGAGGAGAATACTTCCCCGGGAACGAAGCCATTTCATCCTGAAAGCCTTGGAATGCCAAGTCAACTCCAAGGGATGCAGTATATGCCTTGATCAAGGTGGTTGTGACTTGGATATCTCGTTCTGACCGCGCTGGTTGTATCGTGAAAGCGCCCTTCTTAGATATGGTATTTGCCCTTTGCAGGTAATCATCCGGAGATCCGTCGACCTTGTGCATAGCTGCTGCCCCATATAACGAAATAATATTGCTGCACTCGAACCCTGCGACCTTGCTGTTTGTTTGGCGGCGGCTGTACGGAGTTCTTCGTTGTTCGTCTCGTCTCCATCGACTTCTTCAACCCCAAAAACTTCCCTCGGCAAATGCCAAGAAGCCCCACGTGGAAACCTTATTTTCTCCCTTATTTTGACTTTACTTTTTTTTTTTTTGCTGCTGATAAGATCTTGGATCAACCAACCGAGTTCCAACAATGTGAATACGACAAGCCGGCGGCAAAAACTCCGTGTGTCCAGAAGACGCCCAGAGGTTCGAGTGGCAGAGGAGTCACTATATTGGCATAAAAAGGCTGCCGATAGGGTCATAGAAGATGTTTACTAACTATTCCCCTTGCCCGGCCCTGCAGCTGTAATTAGCTATCTTGGCCAGAACATCCTCTCCAGCCAACTTGATATCAAGCACTGACATCAGATGAATACGGCTTTTCGACCGTGGCTTTTCTCTTCTTCCCGGCGGCCTTCACCCGATTGGGCCACGGCTATCAGTTTGCATTTCGCCTCCTCTGTTCTCGTTCCTTTAGTCATCTCGGCATTAACGATCATCTCTCCCTTTTCTTGCTGCTTACCCGTGCCGTTCGACCCGAAACTTGTCGGTGCTCGAAGGGCGTGCATCTCCTCCTCGTGACGAGGATGAAACGAAAAAGGACGATGGTTAGCCAGAGACTGCGATTTTATAGGAACGGGCCAGCCCCGTTCACGGGCCGGTTTGTACTGCTTACATATCTCCCACCTTGACCCTGGCGAGTCTAACTGTGGGTCGGTTAGAGAGGGTCGGACCCATGGTTGGGGATAAAAATGCACACGCTGGGCTGGGTCATTGACATTGATTCCTGGATGAGTCGAAAATTGCTAACAGTTTCAATTAACAGTTAGCTAACATCCAACTTGCTTTGCATGGAGTTGCAGTAACTATCAAGTCAAAAATACCTCATCAACCAACATTTAATCTTCGCATCTACAGAAGGGATAAAAACAAGTTGAGGTTGCAAGATTTCATTCGGTTCCTGCGTTCGTAATCAGAGTCTGATTCGGTCTGATAAATATTTCCATCGGTACTTAACCTGGTCAATCCATATATGTCATAGAGGTAGTGATCATTGCTAACTATCTGTCTAGACAAGCAAGGCTTTCACTGTCATCAAGTTAGCCATACAATCATAACTTTGCATAGTCATTATCAAACTTGATATACCACCAGATTAAAAGAGGATATCAAGGGGATGGGACTCAGTGCAGAGTCGTCTACGCAGCAAATTGAAGCGCAGGATCTCGAGAAGGCAGTTGAGGCCATTCCTATCTCCTCCTTCGCCGAAATACCTTCTGAAAAAGGTGGTTCTCAGACACAATCTGGGTCATCTTCGGATCATGACCATGATGTCAACCAAATATCTAAAGTACCCACTAAAACGGTAGAACGGCCAGGGGTATTAGAAAAGACTCTCTCCCTTGTTCGAACAAGAGAGTCCAACCGGGATCCTGGTCCACCTCCAGATGGTGGCTACCATGCCTGGCTACAAGTGGCTCTTACACATATGGTTATCTTCAATACATGGGGATTCGTTAACGGATTTGGTGTATTCCAGTCATACTACACTGAAGCCTTGAAACGGTCACCTTCCGACATATCATGGATTGGCGGAACTCAGATCTTCCTTCTTTTCTTTATTGGGACATTTTCGGGTCGGGCAACAGACGCAGGATACTTCAAGGCTGTCTGGTCCGCAGGTGCCGTGATAATTATCTTTTCACTCTTCATGACCTCGCTGTGCAAGACATACTGGCAAACCTTTCTTTCCCAGGGTGTCTGCATGGGAATAGGAAGTGGCCTCATATTCTGTCCCAGTGTGGCTCTTCTAACATCCTATTTTGCTCGTCGGCGGTCTCTCGCAATCGCCATCACTGCGTCTGGCAGTGCAACTGGAGGAATCGTCTACCCAGTACTCGTGCAACAACTGCTCCCCAAAATTGGTTTTGGATGGACCATGCGAGTCATCGGCCTAATAACCGCCGTAACGCTTACCCCTGGCTTCTTTTTCCTTCGTCAACGCATACCCCCTCGTCGAACGGGTCCGTTCTTTGAACTCCAGGCTTTCCGCGAACCTGCCTACTCTTTATATGCAGTGGCCATGTTCCTTAATTTTTGGGCCTTGTACATAGCCTTCTTCTATGTTGGCAGTTTTGGCCGTAATGTAATCGGCTTGTCTCAAAAAGATTCCATTAACCTCATTCTTATAATAAACTGCGTGGGCATCTTTGGTCGCCTAATACCATGCTATATCTCGGATTGGAAATCAGGTCCTATAAATGCCCTTATACCATGCACTGTTGTGGCAGGAGCAACATTATTCGGGTGGATAGGCGTGAAAAGGGAGCCCAACTTATACGCATTTTCCATTGTTTATGGGTTCTTCGCCGCTGGGATACAGGCCTTGTTCCCGTCTGCCCTGACAAGTCTCACAACAGATCTGAAGAAGAGCGGCATCCGATTTGGGATGACACTGAGCATTGTAAGCTTTTCTTCCCTAACAGGTTCACCCATCGCTGGTGCGTTGATTGCATTGAGGGACGGTGACTTTCTATACGCCCAGATCTTTGCTGGTTTGTCGATGTTCCTCAGCCTTGCCGTCTTGCTATTATCCCGGTCAAAAGTAGTCGGATGGAAGCTTAAAGCGAGAGTTTGATGGTTAATCTCTGCATCCTTTTATGTGTTCGAAAATATCATCCGGAGTACAAGGTATGTGGAGGCTTTTCTATGCTGACTTTGCAATGTTAGAGTAACTAACAAGCTTTTCTAGTTTCGATTTCTGCATATAAACGTATATAAAAGAGTGTAACGAAGGTAATGTCTAGTTATATATCAAATATTTAGAAATATAAATCGCCCAGTGTCATGCCCCAGCTGTACCAATATGTACCAGGAGCCTTGACATAATTTGAGAAACCAAAAGATGATAGTTAGCCAATTCCAAGTCGTCACCTTTGTTCATCAGTTCTCAAAATAATGAAGGTTGTATGGTTCGGTGTCCCGTACAACGAATCCCTGCGGTGTCGCCACCGAGGATGTCTCCCCCTGATTAATGCCCTGAACACCATTGCTAGGTAGGAATTTGCTCATCTGACAATTGACTGGGGGCGAAGTTTCTCCGAGTAAGGTATTGTGGCGTCTAATAACTAGCGCTGTCAATCAGTTGCAGGGGCGGGCTTTGTAGAGGCTCGTCCTTAGTAGAAGGCTCGACGTCACTGGTATAGTAGCTCTTAATTTTCCGTTGTTTTTCTTCTATAAAGATAGTTTTTCACTATCGCTGTTGTCTGGATGTGCATGTGAGGTGAGCCTTGAGCAGAAGCTTTCTGTTTTATAATTGATTAGAAAGAGTTAAGGGGCCCAGATTTTTCATGAAGTTATGGATGCGGACTAGAAGTAGGCGGGCAAAAGGGCGTTGGCTAGGGATTTGCAGTGTTGCTGACATCCACACCGCCTCAGGTAGATGCCAATCTGGTGTACATAAGATAAAAACCCGATGAATGAGGCGGAAGAGATATTTGGTTGTAGCTTGAGTCTGTGAGGTCAACGTGAGGACGGGGTCTTCGATGGTACTAGCTGGACTCTGCGGGATAAACGCTCTCCTGGCGATTTGGATGATGCCTGGAAGAAGAATTTGCATCGTGTAGAAAACCGTATACGGCGAGTTAAAGCTAATGGGCCGGATCACGCGGGGGACTGAAAATAGCCACAGCTGGTCGTGCATTAGTTAACTAGCCGCGGCAATACGTTTGGCAAGCAAGTTCGAATTGAGGACAAACGCTGTAATGAAGTGTTTGCCTTCGTTCGAGTTGATTGTGCTATGAGCACTGACAGCGGTGACAACGTCGTTTATTGGGCACGTTCAGAGAGCTTCTGAAATTCAGGAATTTAACACAGTAAAGAAAAGGAGAAAGAGAAGAAATTCCAATCGAGGAATATTCAAGAGGCTCTATTGATTCCATAGGGACTTCAGACTGGTCCTCTTCGTTGGGGGTATTTGCTTCTTGAAATTCTAGCTCTCCTTGATCAGAGGTGAAAGTGGTTTTCTCAGCTGTGGCATATCTCTCATCAGCAGATGTACAATCCCACAGAGAATGTTCTTCGTCTGGGCAGAAATGGCAGGATTCAGGTGAATCTTGTACTTTCCTCAAAGCTCCTGTCTTCACAATGCTGTCAGGAGAAAATGGAACAATATGTGCGACCTCTGTTGCTACTAGAGTGCGTTCACCCTCAGGGACGACTTTCATTGGGCGTGTAGACCGTCCAATTTCTACCTACTTTCTGAGCCACGAGATCTTTACCGGGATGCGTACCACCACTTTGCACAACGAAACACCTTTAGCAACCTAAATCTAAGTCCAACATTTTCTGTGGCAGAGGCTCTTACGAAATGAGCTCTGGAGCCACCTATGAGAAATGAAGACGTTAGCAAAGCAGATTAGAGCTGGGGAAAAAGGATCAATCTACATCTTCGCAGGGTCTGTTAAGGCTCTCATAGCGTTGGCAAATCACTCCTGCTGCATAGTAACAGTCAAGGTCCAGCACACGATCGTCCTCGGGATTAGTCGTAGCGTATAGGTTACCCAGGCATCGCGCACACGGCAAGGGGGCATCAAGGGAAGTAACGTCTGCCATGGTGACGAACAGGAACAAGCAGAGAAGCGATAAGTTAGCAGAGCGGCGATGCAGGAGGCCAGGACTAACAGGAATGAGTGAGGAGTGAGTGGTTGCAAGAGAGAAGGAAGGAAGATGGTGGGAAGAAATCTTTTCAACCATAACAACGCGAGGAAGAAGCATTGCTAGGTAACCACGCCTGCCGAAAACGGAAGCAGGCCAGGTTGATATCACGTGGGGAGCAAGGGAAGCCCTAAGCCCTTGCCCTATCTTGGCGTGTCGTGTAGTTGGTGTAGCGGAAGCTCCTGGTGTACCCGGGGGCGTTAGAACGAAGGAGAAGACATGCTACCACATGTTAGCATGGTACCGTTGGTCAAGGTCAAGATGTCTTCATTGTTGTGTCGGAGTGACGTTGGTCACTCTGTCGATGATATTATACGGTTGACACGATGACTAAGTATATTCTTACTAAGAGGTGGATATATGGATGTGACACGTCCTTCGCGGGGGGGACCGATCCTTAGTAATTGGCTGTTGAAAGAATCCCTTGGTAATGTCCATGGATGAGAAGATGACGGAGCCCCCAAGAGCATCTAGAATATCATCTTGTCGTGGCAGGGGATAAGCATTAGGCATAAGTGCATGAGAACCAGATCCGTTTATATCTCTTAGGACCTTTAGTGGATATGGTAGGGTTGCTGGTCCATTTTAATATATATAACTGCCGCTGTATGCTGCCCGGAATAAGTTTAAGCTTGGGTGCTTCGTTCTCGGATGTCGGAATAGTAGACGCAGTTGCATCTGAGCGACTCAAAAACGATGCTATAATCGGCCACACGGGTACTGTGATGGCATCCCGTTGTAAATAGCAGAGTGCCTACTTATTGTGTATATAGGGTACCACAAGTAGTGGGATATGAAGCAGTGGGTATAACAGGAATCAAAAGGGGAAGAAGAAGCAGGGGGAATTATGGCCCCTTTTATGTCCCTCCATCCGAGCAGTGACTGTGCCTCTGGTATAGCTATTGAATGGGCCACTTCAGGTTGATTCTCCGAGGAGTGAATGTCTCACAGTGACTCTCTTTATTCCTGGATGCTGATGTCTTTGATATCTTTGATACCTTTGATGTCTTTGATGTCTCTCCAACATATGGAATTTGGGGTTGAAGGTGAAGTTCAAAGAAAACTGACGAATCAGAATGTGTAGAAATAATAGCAACTGAGTAGCCAATCAGAAACGTTTAATTAACAGCAAGAGCAAACAGTGCAAACAAGCGGGTACCTCACGTGATGCCCCCTCCAAAAAACGTCAAAAACAAAAAAAGAAAAAACGTGACTCGATTTATATTTTCAATTTCAATTTCGATATTTCGTGGTTTTTTGGTTGAAGTTTTGCTGCTTCGTCGTCTTGTTTTCCTTCGTCTTGCTCGTTCTCTCCTTTCTGTTGAGCCTGTTCTGTTGCTGACAGCGTCGGTGGTGGTTGTTTTGCTCTGCGTTCGGCCCTAATATCGTAAACCGCAGCAACTAACTTATCGAACTACCTACCCCCGCCCACCTATCTTACACATACAGACCACGCGTAATCATGGCGCCTCGCGGACGTGGAGGGAAGTTTAGCAAGCCGACGAGAGGAGGTAGGCCTGTCTGTCCTTGTTATCGCATATATGTATAAGATACGGATGCTAATATTCTAGTTGTGGACGCATAGGGGGCAAGCATTTCAGTCGAGACCTGCAGCCACTGGATAAGAATGGAGACCCGATAGGCATGTGGAGGGTTAGTGATATCTACTACACGCAAGATTCCAGATGCAAGACCGGTGTGCTGACGTATACTAGGAGGACAAGGAGGTAGAGTCTTCGGAAGAGGAAGAGGAAGAAGAGGAAGAGTCAGAGGAGGAGTCCGAGGAGGACGAAGATGAGGGCCCTGCTAAGGAAGAAATGACCCGTGAGCAGCGTAAAGCCGCCGCCAAAGCCAGAAAAGAGGCTGCCATTCGTAAGAAGCGACAAGTGGCAGCCGAGCCAGGCGACCTGCCTCCAAGTGATAGTGAAGAGGATGAGGACGATGATGACATGCCAGCCAACCCAAACCACACTGCCAAAGCCCGTAGCCAGGCGGCCAAAGCAGCAACCGCCCCAGCCGACGGGGCTGCCTCGGCCGCAAAGAAAACAGATGTCTCGCAGCTTTCTCGCCGTGAACGAGAGGCCCTGCAGGCCCAGCAGGCTCGCGAGAGGTACCTGAAGCTACACTCCGAGGGCAAGACAGACGAAGCTCGTGCCGACCTGGCTCGTCTGGCCATCGTTCGCGAGCGTCGTGAAGCCGAGAGGGCCCGTAAAGAGGCCGAGAAAGAAGAGCGTGAAGAACGAGAGCGCGAGAAGGCTAAAGAACGAGAAGCCAGAGAGGCCAAGCTGAGAGCTGCTGCTTTGGGACCAGCAGCTAGCAAGAAGAAGGGGAAAAGCAAATAAACCACTCTTGATTTCCTCAACATAGCCATCCATTTTCCCATTTTGGTGACAGGACGGCATGTTGTGCTTTTTCCCCCTTCCCCTTTTCTTCTAGTGGTTCATAACCGGACTGGTATCATGATGGACTCGCATCTTGGTTTGAATCTGGTCTCTCTCTCTCTTTTTCACTTTTCTCCTTCACATAACGGACTGCTTGGGACATGGTATCTTTTGCAAGCCACAAATATATGCACACCATAGGCTATATCAATTCCACATCAATGATTGTATGCATGTTCCTAGGCCCTGAGTTTCCCCCCTGGCCTGAGGCTCCAGGGATCATCCAGGTACGGCCGCATCGAGTCTTCGTATACACCCATAACCTCCCTTTCCGTCCCTTTCCTGATGCGCACACCTTAAATTCTTCAAACAAACGGCAAAATATCTCTGCTCGCCGTTTGCTCGTCATTTACGTAAATGCCTGCGGTAGATGTGTAATTGCATCCGACTTGGCGACTTCAAGGTCGAAATATCCGCAACACGAGCGCCCGCCTCGTACGGATCGGATGATACTCTACGACGTCGTATATTATAAGTAATAAGAATAACAACGTTTGCATGGAGACCTTCGATGCACATAATTAACGCTATTAATTAGTCTTAATTGCGTGTTGTTGGGTCTTCGTGTTGGTGCTCGTATTTTCTCAGGGGGTCGCAGCAAGCAAAGATAGATTATATCTCCATTTTTACAGTCAAGACTATGTACTTTTTTTCCCTTCTTCGTCGATTCTGACAGTCTGAGGGTCAATCAAGCGAGAAAAGAAAGGAATTAAGCTGGAGTAAGTCTCCAGGGAATAAATATATACAATAAATGGTTCTTTTGGCGCATTGAAAGACAGCTGATACAAAGGACGAAATAAAGCAGCCAAAAAAAGAGATAGATACCTGTAATTAAGTAGATGTAGAATCCCCCTCCTAGTAGACGTATCTGAAAGTCAAGTTCTCCTTGTCAGTCAGGTTGTCCCATTTCTTCTGCTCGGCGGACGTGGTCTGGGACAGAGTAGTATCCTCCGAGACGGGCAGGGCCTGGGAGTTCTGCGCTGCAACCCGGTCCCTCCGCTTGTTCTCCCAGATGTAGTAGCCCAGCAGGCAGATTGCGAGCACAGCTCCACAAGCCTGAGTAGCCAGGACGGCGATCTTGGCTGGGATGTAGCGGGGGGCATCCTTTGCCTGGAAGGTCTGGGGCCCGATGATATTCCCGATGCTGAAACTCGCGGTGACCAGGGCAGCGCTGACAGAACGCTTGGTGCTGCCGGCAACATTGGAGGCCAGCCACTGGTAGATGACAATGAGGGTTGGAACAATGGAGTTGACGAGGTAGATACCAGCCAAGAGAGCTCCTTGGTTGTGCTCTGGCGCAAAGGAAAGCAAAGCACCGCCGATAATTCCAGGGATGCAGCATGCTACAATGCCAACAGAGCGGTACATCTTGTAGCGGATTGCGAAGCCAATGACGACAGTGCTGATGATGGATACGGCACCGCTGGGCATGTTGAGCAGGGCGGATCTAGGGGCAGAGTAGCCAAAGCTCTTGATCAGGGTGGCAGAGTAGGTCGTCACCACTCCGCTCGATACGGAGATCTACAATAATATTTTAATTAGCACACGACACATGCATGCATGAACGATGGAGCATGCCAGCCTACCAATGTAGTGATGATAGTCATGAACCATATCTGGACGTCGAGAAGCGTCTCAATGATATGGGCCATCTTGAAGCTGGTGTTGATGACTCCGGTCTGGTTGCAGGAGACATGCTTGAGCAGGGCGGCCTTTTCCTTCTCGGTCAAAAAGCGCGCCTTCATGGGGCTATCTGGAATGATAAAGTAGGTCGCGATGCCAGCCACGCAAGTGACAGCGCCCAGGACGACAAACATGGCCTTCCAGCCGGTGAAATCGGGGTTCTTGACATGCTGGAAACCGAACGAGACGAGGCCGCCGATGATCTGTCCCAGGCCCAGGCCCGAGTACCAGATGCAGAATCGCGGCGCCTGCTCGGACTTGGTGTACCACTGGCTGCTGATGAGCACCAGACAGGGTGCAATGGCAGCCTCAAAGATGCCCAGGAAGATGCGAGCCGCAAGCAGAGTCTTGTAGTCCCGAGCAGCCGCTGTGCAGGCGGTTGATATGCCCCAGAGCGTGACGTTGAGCGCCAGCCATTTGGGCGCAGATATCTTGTTCAAAATGTATCCTACATGCATCAATTAGCATCATGTCGTCGCAATAAGATCAGTCACACCATTACGGAGTAGCACTCCGCAGTTATAGGGGCCTACCGGTTGGGACTTCGGCGATGAGGTATGCGATGAAGAAGGCCGTGGCGGCGTTTGAGAAGTTGTTCCCCTTGAGCTTGAGGTCCTTGTTGAGGCCCATAACAGCCGCGTACTATAAAACAGTCAGCCCGTCCTTTAATCTCTGCGACAACGCATATGCAAGAAATGAAGAAACAAGAAGATGAACTCACATTGAGCGAGACCTTGTCGATGAACTGCATGGTGTAGCAGACAAACATGATCGGGATGATGTAGAGGTCGACCTTCCAGCGGATGCGCTTCAGCTCAGCAGCGCTGGCCTGCGCACTCTCCCCGGACTCCCCATACTGCTGCAAGAAGCGATACGCCTGGTCGAGATCTCGAGATGCGCCGGAAGAGACCGGAATCTCCTTGTCCAGCCCCGTCTTCTGCTCGACGGGCGACTTTTCGGAGTCTTCGGAGGCCATCTTGAAGCGCTGGCTCGCAGTATCAACACAGCAACAACCAGCAGCAACAACAACAACTAGGGGAAATTCTCAGGACTGAGAGATGGAGAGAAGATGCAAGGAAAAAAGAAACCGACAGAGATTAAAGAAGATGCAGACGGCCATAAACGTGGCTCTGTTTTCTTTTTCCTAGTATCTCCTCTGTTCGTCCTACGCGGCGCCTCCAGCTACCTCCCGGAGTATGGATACCGTCCTGCAGCTAACTATCAGGTCAACAAACGGCACCACAGAGACCAGACGATAGTTATGCAGGTTTCAAAAAGTCTTGCGAAGAGGGACAGACGCTCTGGAGGCACTGAATTTTCCCGTATCTTTATCGGCCATCCCTGGCGTTATCTGCGTGCACGGCGTCCGACCCGGCAGATGATAGGACAGGCCACCATGGAAGCCCCCCCCTGGACTGCTAGGACTGCTAAAATATGCATACATTCTTGACAGACTTCCGTTAGAGGGGCCAGGGTAGCATCTCGAGGAAGACGCAGACGAAGAAGAGCAGCAAGGAAAAAGGCCCGGCGCAATTCTAGCGTCCCCGAAGGATCCCTTGCTTGCCACTACTAGAACGATGCTCACTGGCTCCCATCATCCCTGCCTCCAAAGCAGGCCATGGCTATAAAAGTTGCAGTTAAGCATGCCTAGAGGCTCACCAAGAAGACGCCCCAGGGAAGATCCCCAGGGGCCACTAAACGCTCCCCCTTCCCGTCTAGAGAGAGAACTTTGACTCGCATCTATCCATGCTTGTCCGGACCATCGTCCCCCTTCAGGCCTGCACATGTGGGTTTACTCTAAACAGAGAGCCGTCCCAGGGACCCAGCCCCAAGGAAACTCCGGGACAGTGTTGGTTAACACACTATTTACCTGGACGGACTCGGTCCTTGCTCAACTTAGCTACTGGTCAGAAATCAATTCCACGGGCCCATCAGATACTTCGTCGGAATACGATGGAAGGCCGCCTCATGCTCTAGCCCAAGTCCGCCTTTCTGTGATGGCGTTCTTGGTAAACAGGCCTTGGGCCTCTTCCACAGATACCGACACTTGTGTGCTTTTTGAAGTATAACTGAGTATAGTTATTATTATGCTGAATATCAATTGATATTTGGCCACTGTTATCCAGTCAAGGATGAAGCTTGTCTTGTGCTGCTATTGCTGCATGTGCTCGCTTAGCACGGAGAGGCCGATTGTTTCTGTCTGGCCGTTCATCTTCTCATCCGTCTATACTCCGTAACTACGGAGTAGTCATACTCTCGGTCGTTCGACAATGTGTTACATTCTTCTAGCCGGTGGAGTGTTTCCGTAATACCGACGCTATGGATATCAAACGCCCTTATCTAATGGAGATACGGAGTACTCCGTAGTATTTACTCCCTTGAGTTAGGTAGAAGTGCTCGATGTTTAAGCGAAAGCAACACTGATGCTCTTGATGCCTGGGGAACAGAACGACTTCCTTGCTGATCGACTCCATTTTTAGGACACGATTGACATGGGGATCGCCTCGTATGGACGACGCATCAAGACGCCAGAGAGGTCCAGCTTTTACAATTTGAAAAAGAAAAAGCAAGCAAGCAGAGAAATTAGAAGAGGAAGAAGAAAAAATAACAACTGACAACGAGAATTAAGTCAGCCTATCGAACGACTTCCAGTGTGATTCGCGGATGGGGTCGCACCCAGGCTCGTTTGCAATCTGCACAGTTTGTTCTGAACATCCCCTATCCCGGCCGCTTGATGAGCTCTCCCAAAGCTTCATCAAACCAGATGCCTATTTATGCACCTGGTTTGCTTTTTCTTGCGGACCCCCAAAGACCCTCAAGGCAGCATTGCAGGGTATGGAGTGATGAAGTACAAATATGACGGCCTGCAGGTCCCGCGCCCGCAATGATGGTCGTTCCTTTTCCACTTTGATTGTTCTAGAGTCCCCAGATCTATTCTGTTCTGCCACTAGGCATACATCCTTCTGAGATATATACCTGCCGAGAATATACATCTTGATATTCTCCCTACTCCTCCTTCAAAGGCAAAGAAGACACAGAACAAAGACGGTGTCTGGTGCTATTCACAGTAAAGCCGGCCTGATGCAGCAGTGGGTGTACCATGTCTCACCGGAGGTCAATGCGATTTCGCAGTATCCAACCATCCTCGCGGTATGCATTTCGCTCACCTTTGTCATGACCGTGGTGGTCTGTCTCCGGATCTGGGTTCGTGCTGTGTGGAAGAAGAGCTTTGGTGTTGATGATGCTGTCATTGTGTCCTCGGCGGTATGTATCTATATAACTATGCAGCTATATGTATAGTTATACAGAAATATCCCCTCCATTTATCTTACCCTTGCTAATATCGAGTCCTTTAGGTATGCGGGATCATCTACAGTGCGTTGTGCATAACTCAGTCCCGGTTAGGTCTCGGTCTCCCTCTCAAACTACGACCAAAGCAGAGTCTGAACACATATGCTACCGTAAGTAACGATATTCACTCCATGAGATGACTATAAGCATCCACAACTGAGTGCTTGCTCATGTAGGTCAACTTCGCTGGCCGCCCGTTCTACATGGCCGGCATCACCGGTTTCAAAGTGGCCCTGTGTATCGCATATCTACGCATCATCCGCCATAGTTCAGAGAAGTCCTACCGCCACGTCGTTTGGGGCATAATGATATTCACCATCTTATCACACGTTGCCGGGACTCTCGTTCTCTTCTTCCAGTGCTCACCCGTGCACAAGTCATGGCGGCCTTTGACACCGGGAACGTGTCTGCCAAATCCTGCTGTCTTCTACCCTCTTGCAGGAGTATCAATCTTCTGTGATTTGATTGTCTTCCTCACCCCCATCCCACTATGGCTGAAAGTACGCATCAGCACGCCGCGTAAATTGGGGCTGATGGCCGTCTTCCTGCTCGGCCTGTTCACCACAGCCTGCTCGATTATGCGAGTGGTACAGATTGAGATAATTGCAAAGGACGGAAACTCTACCATGCTTATTCTCTGGGGAACCATCGAGCTGAACGTCGGGGTAAGTCGAACACGAACACGACAGCTTGCCAGATCGCCAGACACAGAAGAAGCTAACATAGTTCTGTTGGAACTAACCAGATCGCCATAACCTGTCTGCCCACTCTCATACCGCTAATCACCTTCATGCGAGGCCGAACATCCAAGAGCGGCCCCATGCAATATCCTCACAGCACCTCCGACGGCCGCAGCGCCGGCACTTCAGTCAAGCTCAAGTCCGTCGGCCTGCACTCATCGACCATGCGATCCCAAACCATCCCGACCGGCAACAACACGCTAGTCAAGTCGGGCAGTTTCAGCTCTCTAGAGGCGATCCTCCCGGTCGACAGCCAGGGGCGGCCCATCCAGCGAGAAGACATGGAATCCAGCAACGGCAACGGATCGCAGAGCAATGTACACCTCTCCAATCCTGGCCATATAACGAAGACTGTCCAGGTGGAGATCACCCGGACGGACAACCGGCCGGGCCCTGAGCAAAGTTGGCTTCATTGAGCTTGTTTAAGCTTGTTCGTCCGTTTCCATGCTTCATTTTCGCGAATAGGGAGAAAAAATAGGTATCTTCAAAAAGGTGTTCGGGCCTTGGTTTCTAGAACGTTTTATTATGTCCGGTCATGGCAGCAATGTGCTTCTCTTTCTCACGATATTATTTATTATTTTTATAACTGTTTTTACGCCTCGATATACCCTGTATATATTATTGATTTCTCTCTTCTTGTTGTTCAATCACGACAGCTACCAAAGTACAACAACCATCTAGTTCACTTCTTTAGTCTTCCCCTAGTCAAGAACTTGGTGGTTACGTGGTAGTTGTGTTGACTACTTTGTTAGTTAATAGACACCAACCCCTGAATAAAATTTCACTGACTTAAAATCATCCCACCATCTCCACCAGCTAAACGGCCAGCTACCAAGACAAACAAGAAGAAAAATCGTATTAATAGCATTACCTTACCTGCAATGCTGCATCGGCGTCGGAGCCATGGTCGAAAATCCACTCTGTGCCTGTTACGAGGTGCAGCAAAACTTCGCCTCCCCACCATGGCCGTGTCAAAGACAAGGCACAGCATAGATACCCAGCTCACAGAGAGCCTTCAGACCACCGCAGACAATCACGAAACATATCGAACGCCGCCCGTTTCAACCATGATAACCTCATAGTTCAGGCCAGGAACTGCCGGGTGCGAGCCGAGAGCGATCCCCCCGGCCCTCTTACTTGAAGGGCATAAGTTTTGCCCGGGGTTCATCCCTGTACGAGGAGAAGTCAAGCTAGTTAGCTACACACATGCTGGATCCTCCGTTACAGCCGGCATCCCAGTCGCCGTTCGGACCTCTTTGCTCCATTGCTCACTCGGCCAGCCCGTTATTTCATCAAAAGCGGCTGCTCTCGACCTGGTCGCTTCACATTCCCACGAACATTGTATATCGCTGCCGGATATCATCTCCAGGCTTCGATCAGAGATCCAGTGGAGCATAAATAGTTAACTACCTACGGACATAACTAAAAAGAAAAACACTGGCGGGTTTCGAGAAGCAAAAGGCCGGCCAAAGATGGGGTCCACGTCCACGCCGCCTCATGTCCTGATCATAGGAGCAGGTATCACAGGTCTCGCTCTCGCTCAGGCATTGCGTAAACACGGAGTTTCCTTTGCCGTCTATGAGCGAGATCCCGATCCTCTGCACCGTGGTAAAGGCTGGGGGCTGACGATACACTGGTCTCTGGATGCGTTTCTTCGGCTTTTACCACAGCATCTAATCGATCGATTGCCAGAGACTTATGTCGATCCAGACGCGGTTGCAAAAGGAGAGAATGGGAACTTCCTACTGTTTGACCTTCGGACCGGAGAGACTAAGTGGAAAGTTCCACCGGCAAAGCGATTGAGGGTGTCAAGAGAGCGGCTGCGTAGATTGTTGATGGATGGAATTGATGTTCAGGTTAGTCAAGGCAATTTTTGTTCAATCTATAAGATTTAGAGACACCGCTAATTGCTTGTCAGTGGAACAAAACTATCTCTAGTATCAGCCAGATATCAGAAACAGCAGTACGCTGTGAGTTTTCAGATAACTCCAGTGCTGAAGGAACCCTGCTGGTAGGATGTGATGGCTCTCGATCAAAGACTCGCTCATTGCTATGTTCTCTGGCTGGTAATGAAACTCCAGTCAGGTCAGAGAATTATCAACTACCCGTCCGTCTCATCGGGGTGAGCGCTGCGTTGCCTTCGCGGATCGCCCTTAAGATGAGAGCCCTAGATCCGTTCTTCTTGCAGGCCGGCGACCCAGCTACCAGTAACTTCTTCTGGTTCTCATTCCTTGATACCCCGATTAACAATGACCGCGAGGACCGTGATACGTATGAGTGTCAGATATTGATTAGCTGGCCGTACCGTAAGGATGGCTCTAACAATATAGAAATTCCATGTCATAACGTCGACAAGATAAAACTTATGCACTCCCTGGCTGATGGATGGGTAGAACCGTTCTGTGAGGTCGTGCAGAGTATCCCAGAAGAAACAGAGCCGAAGATCATCTCCTTGGAGGACTGGCCGACCCCACCGAAGGGTTCATGGAGCAATCTTGGTGGCACAGCAACTCTAGTCGGAGATTCTGCTCATGCGATGACAATGTGTGAGTGTATCCGTCTATTTCCTCTCCAGTGGCCACACGTATTCTAAGCTAATGGCCACTCTTATAGTTCGTGGTGAAGCAGGAAATCACGGTATCCTTGATGTATCCAACTTGCTAGAGGCCTTAATTCCTGTCCTCACATCGTCGCCACATTCTCCCGCAAAGACACAGGAGGAAGTGATCAACGAATATGAAGATGAGATGACCACCCGCACCAGGCCAGCAGTTCTTCGGAGCCGCAAAGCGTGTCTTGATGCTCACGATTACCCCTCGATAACAGCGGACTCCCCACTAGTTGCTCGAAGAGGAGCATTTGAAGACGATGATCTGGAATACCTCCTCAACTAGAAAATTAGAATTCAGGAAAAAAGGGCACTCTGTGTACGGAGTACTCTGAAAAGAATTAAATTGATTAATTTATATGGCACATATTCTCTCTCTTTGGGGTATCAGGCGAGCTTTTCCCAGTTGATGGTTGCATAACGTCTTCTACTTTAAACTTCGATAGTTCCATCCCAGGGAGGCAGGCCGCTGCGCCATCAACTCGCCTCCCCCATAACTGGATAGTTGGCTGGTCGTACGAATACGCTTTAATTAAAGACACTTTGGTCAGCATCAATGTCAGTTGTGCTTATGCCAAGCTGCAGTCAGACAGCTAGAGTTGCAGCGCTCCTCCGAGCAATCCGGGACAATCATCATCCATACACCGCCAGGCACATGCATTTTGACAGATCACACGGCAGTCCCCCAGACTCTTCATCAAACTTAACCTGCTCACTTCGGTTAAATTCATTTATTCCACAGGTATGATTTAAGTATGCATTACGGGCAAGGCGGGGTTTTGCCGCCTCAAGTCACAAATCGATACATCACACCAGTGGAGGCCAAATCTCCGAGGGAGCTGTCTTTTGCTGCACATGCACTGGTGATCCATGATTCGTATATGTACTCCATAGATGGCTTGCAGGTGACGTCTTGACTTCGTACAAGTACACACTCATTTGCATTCTCTCCAGGCTCATATGAAATCAACAAGGTCAACGCTTTTTATCATGGAGTGGGGGTGGTAAATTAGTTATAGAGATGATCTGTGGAGATGTAATAATCCGCGCCCTGACCAGGGTGGACAGGGCTCTGTCGTTTTTCTAGGACTCCAGCTTTGCCGCTCCCTGTTATATGATGACAAACTTATAGCCCATGCCCTACCCTGCTGACCAGGATTTGGCTTCGCTTATAGTCCCTCCTTGGAAAATTTTCCCTGTAATGCTATAGTCATAGTTACTCCGTAATAATTGATCCATTTAACAGATTGTTGAACTGGCCAGATATTTTAGCTCACACTGTTTCTAAATTAAAATGTGACGTTCATATAAACTACACTACGGCTAAATAATCAACAATGAGGTCGCTCCTTCCTTTCCTGATGCAGATTCCTCAAGTTGATCGTTATAACACGAGACAAAGAAGGCACGTGCGGACGGGCCGGTCCTTCCAGGTTTAAGCTTAATTTTCCAAAGTATATTAATTCCCTCGACGAGAAGGCGCGCTTTCTGCTCCTTCCCCGCTGAGATTAAAATAAGTTGAAATAAACAAAGGACATCGCTAGTCGGGCACAGTTTTGTGGGAGTGTCAAGGAGGATCGCTTGTTATGAAACAGCAATACTGCGTATACTATGCATGCCCCATTGCCGTTAATCCGCGTGGCGCCCCATAGGTTAGTACTCCGTACTAATAAACACATATCATGCTACACGGACAGTGATGCCATCATATTGCATGCTGTTTCAGGAGGACCGCGATTATTATCTATTGTATTGGACGACTCTATGCTCATATAACTATAGTCTTACAGGATGATTTTAAATATTAATACAGTGGATTAGAGTTCGAAATACAGAGGAGATAATGCGATACTTCCTTCGCTCAAACACAGTGGGTATTAAGCGAGCGAGGAAACTGCTAATAGTGTAGAGGCTGCCAATAGTACCTCAAAGTACAGCTGAGTTTTGGGTTTTGTGAATATGAGTATCCTCTAAACTAGCAGAGAAGCCTCAGTGCGTCGGTGAAAAGCAGTCTGGCATATATCTGATGGAAACCCGACAGCATTGTTACGAGACGCGATTCTTCTCCTCTTGGATTGCAATGGAAACATGATAGACGAAATTCTATCATATCATCACGATCGTCTGCGCATTTGGTAATGGAGTTAATACCCTTTGAAGAGTCATTCCTGTGAACGGACAGTCTATGGCATCCGGCAAAATTTCCATTCCCAAAGCCGAAGTCGATATATGAAAATTTCTCCTCGGTGGATTTCCATTTTGTCAAGCCTTCAGAAGTAGGGTTCAACCTTGTTTTATTGACCAAATGCGAGTGTGTCACCTGAAATGCGCCAAACAGTATCGAGCCCAGGGGAAGCAGTGTTGCCTTTGGGATTTCAGTGACTTTCCATATATTCTTTGGCAGTGATAACCCAGGATTGGTCGGTTGTGTATTTGACAATAACGGAGTCTGTTGAGTTAGGCCTGTTGATACCCGTTAATGAAACCTACACAAGATGAGGCACAATTCTAGCGGAGACTCGCCTTTGATTTGCACTGCCATTAGCTTCCACCCACCGGATGCCAGAATGAATCTTTCGGCAGCAAATATGATTCCACCAAAGAACCCGCGAGTGAATCTAGCCAGGAGTTCTTCATCGCTTAGCTGACCTAGTGGTAGTTTTTTCCCGGGGAACAATGTACTCTGCACGAGTGTGTCAGCTTTGACTCGCGCAATCAAGCAGTCTTCGACGATTGCATAACCATGGGGGTTGATCAATGCCTCAGAGCGAGTCTCATGGAAAGATGTAAGAGGCTGTGGAGAGTAGATAATCCGGCGGGATCGAGAGAAAAAGTCCATGAGGAGGTAGTTGGTTGTGGGGGCGTATGGGGGCGTGGGTTACAGTGTTCTTGAGCATAAAGTTGGGTATACAATTAGCGGACGGTGTTTTGCGTACGGGTTAGGGCCATATAAATAGTTGGCCTTCCAACGGCTGTCATCAAGGCGTATGTTCCAATGCTCAGCTGTAAAAAGAAACGGATGACGTAGGAACGGGAGCAATCGGGACAGCTCGGTGATCTTGATACTCAAAATAGGATCTCCCAACACAATAATCCTCGTATTTAATGGCTGCCGAGCGACTGAGTCACTAGTTAGTTAGTTATAGCTGTGAGGCGGCGGCTACGCCGGATCATAGACCACAAATTTTCCTACACATATTAACAAATTGATAACTCGAAGAAATGCAAAAAAAAAAAAAAAAAAAAAAGGTTGAGCATTATGCATAAAGACAAGATCTATCCATATTCCGTATATGAAATGCCGCAGCTCTCGTAAAGTATCCACAAGACGTTGTAGCTTCTCTGATGCTACTAGTGGCTCTTGATGTAAAAAGCCGGGAGGTAAAAGCCATTCACGCCTCTCTTCAATATTAGAGGTACATCAATTTTGCCAAGTCAAGGCCACAATAATAACCAGCTCGCAGCACCACCTTGCCTAACAATCCCCCACCCTAAGAACAAACTTACAAACCACAAAATGCCCATGATAACAATGGGTAGCAGAATCAGCTCCGTATGATACAAAAACGGCAGGTTGCTATACCCGAGGAAGGATATATATGTATAATATGAGAACGCAGAGAGGTATAGAGTATTTCCTAGAAGGGTGGCTAGAAAATTGGAGGACGTTCCCGTACCACGAGTGAGAACAGGAAGGAGGACGAATTGTAGAACGTATAGGTGGAGGTAGAGTGTGAAGAAGGCGCGGGCGGATATCTATGTGAAAGCTGTTAATAACTTGACGTTTAGATTTCAGCGGTTGAAAAGCGGGCTCACATCGAAACAATATCCAAATTCAACGTGCTCCTTATCCCCCGATAACCCAAAAAGTCCTTGTGCAGGTGCACGCCGTCTCATGCGACCTAAGGACGACCGTGTCCGTCTCCATTCACTAATTGTGGCAGCGGGCCCGTTGGGACCAAATATGCGGCCCACAGTGAAGTACATGATCGTAGAAATAATGAGGGAGGCCCCGAAGTAATGGAGAAAGACGAAAGCTATGGCGAGGCCATTCATAGAGAGAAAAGACGGTTTATAGGCAAAGCCCCATGCTAGGCCGGCTAAATATAGGAATAAGGAGAACAGGTAGCTGAATGACGGGTCGGGGCGGTGCCAGGTGTTTTTTGTTTCTAGACGGGTATTAGGTCGTGAGCAGGAATGTGATGAGTTGCGAGGGGAGACTAACGTTTCTAAGAACAGTCAATTGGTTAGCTTTAGCTTCCTTTTCGTGAAGTACTATAAAGATATCGGCCCACAAACATGATAATACATAGATTTAAACACCTTTTTAGGTGCAATCACAAGAGACGTCATCTCCCAAATGGCCATCTCGAAGTCCATCTGTGAGACTTTGAACAACCTAGGTCACTGGCATCAGCATGTGGATAGCTCACAGAGCGGAACAGCAGCACCTTACCGGCCAAAAACCTGCGGCATTCGTATAAACGGGTTCCTATTCTGCGGCGAGGTACCGCCGAACTGTGCTGGCCCAGCATGTTGCCGGGGGACGGATATATGGGGATTCATTGGAGAAAGATGAGGGCAACTCGCCCGGGCCGAGGTTGAACTACCGCAGCATTAAAATCAAGAGGAACAGAGAAGAAAGCCCAGACCGTTTCAGTGTGTAGAGGCTCTGCCCATCCGTCTCCTTTGCTTGCTGTTGGGTGCTTGTGATCAACTCGAACTGTCGACTTGTTATGTTTGAAGCTCGAAGCAGGTTGACAGCGTTGGAGAAGCATCACGTGACCGCGATTCTACCATACCGGATAAAGTATGTTTTGCAGCACTACTATCTTCTATAGCCTAATAGTATCT